TAATTATTTAAATATGTGAAATAATATATAAAATATGATTTTCAAGTTCGCCTGTCAAATAACCTAAATTTGCAAATTTCATCTATTAAATGTGAGAAAGAGAAGTCATTAAATTGAAAAAAACCTTACCAAATATAAAGTACCTGTGACTAACTTTTAGTTTTTCTTAGCACTTTTTTCCTTTTTTCTTCATAAATGTGAAATAAAAATCAATAAAAATTGGCACTTTGCTTATTTTCACTATTTTCAAATGTAAATAACTTTCTTGGAGAAAACTGAAAAATTACAAAACTTGGGCAATATCTAATTGATCACTAAATACACACACTGGAAAAAAATTCGCTTTGGTCCCGAAGATACTTTTTGAGATAATTAAGTTTAAACTTTTCACAATTTTTATCAGGTTAATACATGTAGTTTTTTAAGGACGAAGTTAGGTTTTATTGGTTAAATATTTTGAACTAACTTCAATTTTATAAAAATCACATGCATTAACCTCATAAAAATTGTGAAAAATTTAAACTTAATTATCTCAAAAAGTATCTTCGGGACCAAAGCGAATTTTTTTCCAGTGTGTGTAGTTAGTGATCAATTAGATATTGCCCAAGTTTTGTAATTTTTCAGTTTTCTCCAAGAAAGTTATTTACATTTGAAAATAGTGAAAATAAGCAAAGTGCCAATTTTTATTGCTTTTTATTTCACATTTATGAAGAAAAAAGGAAAAAAGTGCTAAGAAAAACTAAAAGTTAGTCACAGGTACTTTATATTTGGTAAGGTTTTTTTTCAATTTAATGACTTCTCTTTCTCACATTTAATAGATGAAATTTGCAAATTTAGGTTATTTGACAGGCGAACTTGAAAATCATATTTTATATATTATTTCACATATTTAAATAATTACATCAATTGATAATGATAAATTTATTCATTCTTAGTAAATTACAAAAAAATTTTTTTATTTTTATGGTAAATTCTACGTATTTTTGCATATTTTCTAATGGCTAAAAAATTGACAGTTTTCAGCACCTCATATACTTTAAAGTCATATTTTGCAATAAATAATTAAAATTTTAATAAAATTCTTTTCATTTCGTGATCTTGATAACTTCAAAATCATTCCTGCAAAGTATTATAATTTTTAAAAATTAGTCAGCGACCACTTCAGTCGAAATATAATGGATTGACCCTTGAGCCAAATAATTTTTATTTCAATTAAATTAACACTCAACAAATTTCTATATTTGATTCAAATAAAATTTAATTGACTCAAATAAAAAATTATTTGGTTTCACAGAAAAAATCTGAACTCAATTTTATTGCATTTAAAAATTTCTAAAACTGAATCAGTGAAATTTGATTGAAAATTAGTGGGTCTATTCTCGCGATTTCAATTAGTGAAATTTTACTGAAAATCAGTTAAAAAATAATTGAAATTTTCAATATACGTGACAGAAAATTTCAGTAATTTTTTAATTGGACAATCAGTGAAATTTCAATGATTGAAATAGCGAGAATAGACCCACTGATTGTCAGTAAAATTTCACTAATTTAGGTTTAAAGAGTAGCGAATGATAAACGACATAAAATGTGGCGCCACCTACGAGGCACATTTTTGATGCGTTTCAAATTGAATAGCGTAAACTACTTCTTTTGAGCTCAATTTTTTTCTGTGTTAAGAAAATATTTATATATTTTATAAAAACATAGTGCAAATTTCTATATAGGAATTTGAATCTTTCTGTATGTCATACAAAGACAAAACGGTCACATTTCTGACAGATTTGCGTAGAAACTACAAGGAAAAATTAAGTTTTTGAGTTTTTTTTCTTAAATGGAAAATATTTCTGGAGATCAATGTAAATAGTTGAAAATTAATTATTTAATTATGTTTTGTAATTTTATTAGAGATAAATATTTTTCAAATTGACGTGGGCTGTGAAAATTCTTTTGGGAGTAATGGGAGAATTGTGACAGACAATAACAGATTTTTATTACTTCGATATGGCTTTTCTATTTCTTTGAAAATTAAAAAAGATTTATTTATAAAATTTAATATTGTAACGTGCGTGTAGAATTTTTTTTAATAAAATTTATTTGTCTAGAATTAATACCACTTATCCAAACGTAATTTGTAGAGTTAATTATTGTGTAGAATTCTTTTATGTAGAGTTTAATTGTGTAGAATAGCTACTACTTCTTTTTTAATTTTTATACAATTTTTGACTTCAGAAAATAAAATTTTCTATACTTGTATACAATTATAAAATTATAATAATTTAATAATTATTTAATTTTATGAAATTAAACGTAATTCAATGATAGAAAAATTAATAAAAAAAAATTTTCTTTCTTCATATTTTTTAAAGTTCAAAAAAATGAATATTTCGGGAGGAATCGCTCGTATATATATATATATATATATATATATATATATATATGTGTGTGTGTGTGTGTGCAATAAAGACGATGTACATTTAAAGACTATGTAATTTTCGTTTCAAGTATGTCCAAGGTTATGAAACGTGTCCTTCCAGTAAAATTGTTTATTTCATCGGAGTGTGGATTTATGGGTTGTTCCCAAGTGTTTTATGAAGGTTATACAATGATTTAAGATATTTAAAGGAAAAATTATTGAAAGTACGAGAAATCAGGACTAATTGGTGATTTTACTTTTTATTTTATTTAAAATAATCATTTGTCTCGAATAATTTGATTCTAATTTATGTGATAGTTTCAGAAATATTTTTAATTTTAAAGAAAGGCGCCATTTTTAATTTGACCCTATTAAATGTTAATAATCGCACAAAGTTATATTTTTTATTGCATCAGGCGGGTCCTAAAAACATACGGTGTGGTCAAAAAAAGAAAATCTTAATTTTGAATCATTTGGGAATTTGTATTTTTAAAAAAAATTTTTGAAAATCCATACAAGAGATTCTAAAGAATCATTGAAAAAGTATGTAAAAAAATTGCCGATGTATAGTTAAAATTGCAAAAGTAATTTAGTTTAAGTAATTGTATAAAAAATTTTTTTTTCAAGTAGCAATAAAAATAATTTCTTTAAAATTGTTTACGTGATCCATATATATGTATGGAAATTTTTCTATCATATTTCTCACAATTTTACAAAACTTAACCCTTGTGACAATTTTGTGATATTAGACTGCTTTTGCCTCACCTTAATATTTTTCTTTTGTCCTACTCCATATGTATTATGGATTTATGCGAACCATGTTTTCCCATATTTTCCTTTGAGCAGGAAAATACTTTACATACCACTCTACCTTCTGAAGGGAAACAGAAGACGTACAGTAAAACTCACAAATAACTTCCTTCCTTCCTCCTATATGGTCTAAAGCCAAAAGTCAACGGATTTTACAAATATTTAAAAGAAAAGAAAATTGAATTTTCAATAAATTCTTGACATAACGTAGAAAAAATTTTTTAAATAATTTTACACCACAACTTATATAAACACACACGGAGAAAACAGAATTGTTGTGATTACTAAAAATTAGGTACACACAACAATTCTGGATTGTCAATATAGAACCAGCAGTTCTATTTATTGTTGGGACAAAAAAAAAATTGTTAAAATGGGATTGTTCGGTGAACAAACAGAATTGTTTGATGAACAAAGAAAATTGTTATGGAACAGTTGAAATAACAAAACTAAATTGTAAATTAAATCGACATTACAATTTGTTGTATTAACAAAGCTTTGATCCGTCTAATGCAATTTGTTCAGTTTCTTCGCCTTCTAAAATAATCGATAGCAGATTTCCGTAGGTCATATCACCAGTTTCATTTGCATTAAAATCTGTGGATCATGCAGCTTCTGAATCAAATTCTTTGACCTGAAATCAAAAAATTATTTTGAATTGAAATTTGTTGTTAAATAATATTTAATATACATTTTGTATTTTTTAAGGTGAGGTTATGTTCAATAGTAACCGAGTATAACTTACCGATAAACGATGAAATTGTCTCTTCATCCATTCACCACACTTGCAATAGATTTCTCACTTTAACCGGATTCATTATTTAACAGCACTTTGTCATTTTTTTAAAAAAACTAAAAAGAAAACGAACGCGACGATCTGCACGCCAGTTTGCGAGAATTTAAGATGACCACGTGACATGGAACAATAAACCTGTCAGCTGAACAAATCCAGATTGTTCCATCAGCAATCGACAGAGAGTTTAGCTTCTGCAACTGTACGGAATTGCAAACTGGACAAATCTGACAACAAAAAATTCGTATTGTTGTTAAAACAATATACATTTGTATTGACAACAATCCGAATTGTAATATTAACATTTTGAATTGTAATATCAACAAATCTATTGACAACAATCCAAAAATTGTTTGGACAACAATCCCATTTTTCTCCGTAGCATCTGAAATTGTGAATATTGTTTCTTTCAGTAATATTCAATTGTTTGTTCGGACATTTTGTCATTTCGGTCAAATGAAAAATTCGTACATTTCATAAGAAATCTATCAAATAAAAATTCGTACTCAAATCAGGTTAATGCATTTTATGACAAGTTTGTTAAAAAAAGTACCTTTTTCGAGTAATGTAATAATTTGAAAATTAAAAATTTAGCTTAAAGTAAAATTCTAAAAAATTAATTTTAGAGCCTTTAAATTTTTTATAAAAAGATTTAGACAAACTAAAAATTGAAAATATGATTTTCATTTGCATGAATAAAAATTGTTATCTTTCTCTCTCTCTCTCTTATATATTATCTCGCAAATATCTCTTTCTTGTATGCAAAATCATCCTGGGGGATCAGTGTGTACTTTATACTCATTCGAGTGCGTAGAAGGTGCATGTATGTATATATACATATTTTTTTCTTGGACGCGTTGAGCGCGACGTATGGACTGAGAATAAATTATCAAGGGTGTCTCTATGGGTCTATAATGATTTCTTTGCATGGTGGGATGATACAGGAAGTGAACTCACAACAGCGGAACCAGGCGTTCACTCAATGGAAAGTCTTTCAGTATGGCCAAGAGGCTCACCAAGTGGGCAGTCTCTTCTGTGAATACGTAGACAACAAACTATTCAACTTGTCGCTCCATTCAAACAAATTCCTACAAATTAGATTTTACTATCTCTAATCATGCCAATTATATGTAGTATACAATATATTATAAATAAATAGAAGTACGTGTCTTAAAATGTCAACAAACTTGACACTCAATTCATTGAATGTATATCATATTATTATACAAATATATTGAATTAGTTTTAATAAATAATTAAAGTATATTAATTAAAAAAAAAACTATAATAATAGAACATTTTAATTGGAGCGACTTAATAAATTAAATATTGTGACAATATTAATTAGAACTGAATTAAAATTTCACCAAATGAAAAACTTTGGACATGTGTAAAATAAAAAACAAACCGTGTTAAAATAGTTCAGAAAAATACTATTAGAAAGTGATTTTATTTAAAATTCAGTGATGAAACCAATGAAAGTTTTGATTTTTGAAATGTGATATAAAAAAGAATGTTGATGGAACGGAAAATACCTCTAGCTAGGAAAATATGAGAAAAAAAAGTGCTTCAAATATATAGTGAACAAAGTGCGCGGTGAAGAGAAGTAAAGCCATGTATATATATATCTATATATGACTCAGAGAAAAATGTAGAATCAAGTTCTCTCAACGTGTGTATAATAAAAATCGTGGAATCTTTTTGTGTATAATAAAAAAAAGAATTCGTATTATTTCCGGTGTGTGATTTGCATAATTATTTTTCGGTGTGTGATCATCTTTTTTTTGGAATTATCCTATTTCCATAAATAATTATTATTATATTTCTATAATATGTAGAGAAATTGAAATAATAATAAATAATATATTATCGACAGAAACTCATTGCGGGAATTTATATTTTCGCATTAAAATTTAAAAAACAAAAAAAAAAACTAGAAAATGGTTAGTCAACACGCAATGGCTACCACTGTTCGCAAAGTCAAACAGGGAAACAGATTAAGGAAACTAAATCAAAATCAAGGTATACAATTATTTATTTATATATTATGCTGTTTCATTTTGATAAATGTGAAGTTATTTTAAAATTTTTTAAGCATATATGACATTCTACGAGAAAAGAGACCTTATAGGCAATAAATTTTAGGTTATGTTTATAGTGATAGTTTTAGGTTGATTAAATATTTTTAATTATGTAAAAAAAATCAGTTTTTATTGAATATTTATTTTGGATCTTATAAAGACATAAACATTACTGGTTTTTATTAAAAGTTGATCCTCTTTCTGTATTTGTAATCTAAAATTCAAAAACATAACCTAAAATTTGTTGCCTCTAAGGTCCTTTTTCTCGTGGAGCGTCACATATATATATATATATATATCTTCCTATATTACAAAAAGATATCGCCGCCGCCTCCGCCGCTGTTTCAAGAATTCTTGACCTAGGAGGGGGGAGTCCCCCTCCTAAATTTTGAGGTTATGTTCGTTTCAAGGCTTTGAATATAGCCGCAAGTCCCCCTCCCTCCTCTCATTTCCCCTCCTCCGTCAAAAATGACCTAAATTTTGAGGTTATGTTCGTTTCAAGACTCTGAATATAGCCGCAAGTCCCCTCCCCTCCCTCGCCAGAAATGACCTAAATTTTGAGGTTATGTTCGTTTCAAGGCTCTGAATATAGCCGCAAGTCCCCCCTCCCTCCTCTCATTTCCCCTCCTCCGCCAAAAATTGACCTAAATTTTGAGGTTATGTTTGTTTTAAGACCCTAATAAAGCAGTAAGTCCTTCCCCCTTCCCTCATCTCTCTCTATATTTCCCGCCAAAAATGACATAAATTTTAAGGTTATGTAAATTTCAAGACTTTCAATATAGCCGCAAGTGAAGGTGGAGTTTCCGCCAAAAATGACTTGAATTTAAAGGTTATGTTCGTTTCAAGACTTTTTAATAATTTATTGGTTTTTAGGCAATTTCATTGAAATTATTTTTAAAAATAATTTCTTAATGTCGATTTTAATTTATTTAATTATTTATTTATTATTAACTTAATTAATTTATTAATTAAAATTTAATAATTTTAATAATATTTATTCAGATTTGGTTGCCATATTGGATCCACCATTTTGATTTTTTTAAATTTGACATCCAAAATATTGCAATTCTTTATAAGAACCTTTAAATAATTGAAGCTTCAATTTATAATATTTATACACAGTTAATTTGATAGTATCATATTGATACTATAATACGTATAAAATTATTGAGATGTAACTAACGTTTTAATCCTCTTTATTAGGATCAATTTGATACCTTCTAGTTAACAATGTACTTTCAATGTTATGTTTAATTAATGATAAATATGATTTTAATGATGTGGTAACTTTTAATAATCATTATATAACTTAAATACAATATTATTAATCAATAATAATATCGGTTAAAACTAACTTCAAAGATAATTTTTGTTTGAATAAATATTTTTTCGCAAATAAAATTTTACAGTTAAAATAAAAACCTATATATATAATTTGTTTCACAATCCAATTGAAATACAAGCGTGCATCAATAAAGTCTCAAATTTCCTGTAAAAAGATACCATTAATCTACGAAACTCGAGCTAAAAATATATCGACACAGGATATAGGATTTTATTTTTCTTTCTCCTGTATTCGAATATTTAGTTATAGTCAAATATATAGTCCTTTACTAAAAACAAGGATTCTTTCAAAAAAAAAAAATAAATAAATAAATAAAAATGGATAAAGAATTCATTTCAATGAAAAGAAATAAAAATGTAAAAAACTTGATCGATTTTTTGAAAGTTTCATCCATTGCAGTTATTAACCAAGAGTGTACGATAAATAATAAAAGAGAAAACAAAACTGTCACGGGAAAGAATCAAGTTAACAAGATTGACCTTGTGTCTTCAATGTTAAGAAAGTTGCATGGATCTGAGTTGTCACATTGGCTGCTCAGCAGCTCTCTACAATCTGCACATACACATTTATTTATATAGACGCACATATACATGCGTATACATGATGCGTTACAAATCTGTAATAGAAAATCAGGTTTATATATTTATATATATACGACTTTCAAATTCGTTAAAGCAACTGGTGAAAAATTGATAATTTTATATATTAAATGTCAATTTTAAATGTAAAATTTCTTTAATTGCATTTAAAAAAAAAACAAATTAAAAAGAAAAATCTTTTTGACAGCATCAATTCCAACACAATAGGTCCAATCACAAAATGTCAACGAAGCACACTGGACCCGTATACACAAATTCAATTTATCCAGTGCAATTAAAGTTCGGATGAAAATTTCATTTGCATATTGCCTCTCAGTGTTTTACATCTTTTATTGAGCAACGAACTTCAATTTTAAAGTTAGCTCAATTTTTATTGTATTTATTTATGCACGTTCAAATCTGCAAAATTTCGAGTAAATTATATCTAATTTTTAAATAATTATTTTAAACTTGAACATTTTCTTAGTTCATTAATCATAATATATTATGGTTTAAATTTTCTTTTTTTCACATATGAAATTAATAATCTGGGATGGGACCTTTTTTTGTAATCACAAATTTTTTACCTACTTTTTAAAAAAGTTATAATTCAAATTCAAATATTCGCTACTGAGCTGACACGAATCTAACATCAGGTTTTCAAAATTCAAAATGGCGGATCCAATATGACGGGGGACAAAATTAAAAATTGATCGGATTTGCTTGAAACTTGTTACTCGAGGGTTTTTTGGGGCTATTTTGAATTTTGAAAAACTGATGTCAGAATTGTGATTGGCAACAATTCCGATTAATTTTTAATTTTGTCGTCCGCCATATTGGATTCGCCATTTTGAATTTTGAAAAACTGTAGTCAGATTCGTAATCAGCGACGCTGAAAACCCGAAATAGGCGATTTAACTTTTTGGTGTTAAAAATCAACTCCAAAAGTGAGTTATAACATTTGATTATACTCCCCAGGCATAAAATTAATTTCCTTTTGAGTTCTTTGAATGAATAAAAATAAGAACGAGCGCGTTTGAAAAAAAAATTATTATGAAATCAGATAAGATAGAGAAAATTTAATTTATGTATATGTAAAAATTTAATTTGCTTTTCAGATGAGGAGGAATATTATAAGCCGGTGCCTCCACCAAAACCGGTGTCGAATAATCAGAAGAATAATCAAAACTTTCATCATCAGCATCAACATCAAACGATAGTTGAATCGTACCCACAGGTGACTTCCGGTCAATCGGGGGAGGATACGCTTGTTCGTAATTCCGTACAAACTCCTGCCCCAGAATACAGGATGCCACCTTTATATGGCGATGAGCAGAGTTCAAATCAGGCTCAACAAGCATCCAATCTTCAGACGCATAGTAGTAAATTTCCGGTAAGTTTTTTTTCTTTTTTTTTTATTTTATTCTTTTCATATATTCTTATCTCATTTTTTTTCACCTTAATTTGTAAAAATTTGTCATAAACACAATTTCATTATAATACAGAATTTTAATTTTTTTTTTTTAAGAATAAAACTTCCATTTATCAATTTGATTTTATAGAGATAATAGAAAAAATCCAAACGGAAATTTTTATAGAAATTTTTTTGAATTTTTTTTTTGTGTAAATTTCCGGTTGAATATTTTTATTAGCAATATTAGGGTCAAATAAAGTTAGTAATTGAAAAAAAAAAAAAAATACTTTCTCACCACTATATTTATAAGGAAAAAAGAAATGAAAATAAACTAATTTTATCAAGAACAAAAAAAAGAACAATTTAAAGTTTCTCCATTTTGATGAAATTGATAATTAGTACCTATGTACAATTTATATATATATATATATATATATATATATATAATATATGAATTTGCCTGGAAGTATAAAACTGCATAAGAATTTAATAACTCGAAACTTTCTTTCCTGAACATGAAAGAGGATAATTAGAAACGCAACGTGTGAAATAAATCATTACGCTAACTCGATATGAATATATATATATTTTCTCCTACAACATAATTTGCCACCCTCTTGATGGTAAAAATCTAGAACGTGAGAGTCAATAAGATTTAACGCTGATTTCTTTTGTTGTTTTTAATCTATATACGGTTGCGATGGTAAAAACAAATTATCGCCTCAGTAAGTCAGTTGTAACAACAATCTTGTATATCGACTTTATCATATATAAATATAAAAATACGTAGAGAAAATGATGTACAGTTGGTTGTAGTATATATATTAACGCGACGATTCCTAGAGGAAAAGTGATGTACCAAACACGTTTCCGGTAAACGGTACACTACATACAGAAAACCCCTGAGAATATTCCCAGAGTGCATGTAACACGCGTACAATGAACTGTTACCAAAGATTTCACCAAAGTGCACTTCTCTGTTAACGCAACTTTTTTTTACACTTTCGAGAAATCGAAATAAAAAGTGCACCACGGGAAGATCATTATCGAAAAAATTTATACACTCTCTCCCTCTTTCTCTCTCTCTCTCACTCTAAATTTGAAGCAGTGAAATTATAATCTCTAAATTTGAATCAGTGAGAATTTGTTCACTAATTTAAATTAGTGAAAATTTTCCACTCATTTTTAGTCATTTTTCACTAAATCTTTAGTAGAGTATATACCTATTTTAATGTGACGTCATTCTTTCTACCGCAGGTGGTAGGATGTTTACTGTCAGATCAGAATAAAAGTCTTAATCTTTAAAAATTTACTGTCACAGGAAACTTTTTTGACCTCACAGAAAATTTGTTCGCTGTCCCTATATATTAGCTAACTTAATTTGATATTATACAGCAAATAATTTTCTGTCACAGCAAATTTTTTCTATATGTGTATATAATTAAAAATTATAAAAATTACCACCAGCTATCACAGAAAAAACCTATAGTCTCATTCACAGTAAACTTGGTTGTATCTTTTTCTAATGCAACGTTTTGATGCACATAAGTTATATCAAAAAGAGATCGTTTTGTGTATCATTTTTAGAAATGATACACGAAACGGTCTCATTTTTTGATGCAAAAAATTTAATCAATTTATATCAATCATAGCCGAATTGAATCGACTCAAAATTAAACGAATTTTTTTCAGATATTTTGGTAATAGTACAATTGCGGAGACCATTTCACTATTTAATTTGAAAATGAAAATAACAGAAAATCAAAGACAATGTGCAATTCGATAATTAAAAAGTGACAGCTTATAAACATAACCTAAAATGCATGAGAAAAAATTTGTCGATAAAATCAATATAGCCGAGCTTTTTAGAAGGTAGATGGCAGTTTTGCTTTTTATAAAAACGATTCAGAAAAAATTTAAAGAAAGAAAATAGATGAGTGCTGCCATCTACCTTCTAAAAAGCTCGGCTATATTGATTTTATCGACAAATTTTTTCTCATGCATTTTAGGTTATGTTTATAAGCTGTCACTTTTTAATTATCGAATTGCACATTGTCTTTGATTTTCTGTTATTTTCATTTTCAAATTAAATAGTGAAATGGTCTCCGCAATTGTACTATTACCAAAATATCTGAAAAAAATTCGTTTAATTTTGAGTCGATTCAATTCGGCCATGATTAATATAAATTGATTAAATTTTTTGCATCAAAAAATGAGACCGTTTCGTGTATCATATCTAAAAATTATACACAAAACGATCTCTTTTTGATATAACTTATGTGCATCAAAACGTTGCAAAGATTTGATGCAATTTTTGGTCTCAATTTAATACTTTTAGGAAAACTGTGTTTTTTTTTGCAACTCAAAATGAGTCAATGCTAAACGACATAGAAAAGGGCGCCACTAACCTCTGACTCATTTTGAGACCAGGTTTTTTCTGTGTGAAGAAAGAATGACGTCACATTAAAACACTCTATAAAAAGAAAAATATTTCTAAATTACATAGTCGATTTTTATTAAAAAATTAGTGAAAATTTCTATACTAATTTGAATTAGTGAATCAATTCTCACTAATTCAAATTTAGAGATTAATAATAATTGGACTTTAGCAACTGTACACTGTAAAAAATTTTTTGGTTAAAAGTCCCCAAAATTCTATCTCTCTAAATCTGAATCAGTAGAAATTTTACTAATTCAATCAGTACTTTTCATTTTAACTGAAGTTTCAGTTATTTTTTGAAATTTACTAATATAATTAGTGAATATGCAAGCAATAGAAAATAACTTATGTAAATCAGTAATTTGTATATAACATAACCTTTAAAATTAACTATTAAATCAGTAGATTTTGTGGCCGCCGCCATATATTTATATTACTGATTCAATCAGTAATTGATATTTACTAATTGAATCAGTAAATTTCTACTAATTGTCAGTTGCTCAATTCTCGCTATGTCAATTAGTAGATTTCTACTGCTAATCAGTAAAATATGACTGATTCAGATTTAGAGAGTATAGTGACGCAAATTTGCAGGACATTTTGTGGAAAATTCCCTAAAATTTTAGGGAATATTCCACAAATATAAGTGAATATTCCCAAAGATTAATATCAATAGTTTAAAAAATTGAAATAAAAATTTAAAAATTTCATTCATGTAGCATTTATATCTTACTTACATTATTTATTGGTACCTATTGATGAAAATTTGTTTTCTTGAAAATTATCAAATATTATCATGAGGCTCATGAAAATAAAATGATAATTTCAATATATAAGATGAAACTAAGTAGACATGCTTTGTAACTTTAAAAAAAGGAAACAAACGTTTAAAATAGTTGTGACTTATGTTATATAATAAATAAAATAAGATCTGTTAAACAAATATTAAATAAATTTTAATTTAAATCTTTAGAAATATAAATTTTTGTCTACTTAGAAATACTTATTTAGTTAAGTTATAATTAACTTATCTATGAAATGAATAAATTATATTACAAATTACAAATAACTTTTTGTAACTTAAGTAAGTTTAAAGTTTAACTTTTTTGAAGAAGGATTTCAAAAAAATTGAGGAATATTTACCACTTGTTTTTGGGGAAAAATATATTCATTGGAATTTTGAGAAATTTTCACTAACTTTTTTTAGGGAAAATATATATACATTAGAATTTTAGGGAATTTTCACCAAAATTTAGGAAAATAATCACTAATTTTTTTGAGGAAAACATTTTCCTCAAAAATATGAAATATTCACCAAAAAAGGTTGGTGATAATTCCCAAAATTTTTTACAGTGTAAAGTAATTCAGTAAAAGATTTTAATTTAAAAAAAAATTAGTAAAATTTTTACTGATAGATAGTCAAACATCTGTTTTATCAACAATTAGTACAGCAGTTTTTATGTACATTTTAATCTGTAATAATTCTATTAATTTTTATGTCAAATATGATTGAATATCAGTGAATTTCTTAGACAATAGTGTGCTTCAGTTATGCTACATTCGTATAAGGGTTTTTGGGGTCGCTGAATTTAAATTTGATTTAATGGAATGGTTCCAATGGAATATTCCCATAATATATCCCAAAGAAACGTTCCAAAGTTCGAACGTTTTAATATTCCTGGAATATGGATGGAATATTTCTTTGCATTATTTCCAATGTTTCAATATGCTAAACATTTCATCAATGTTAATGAAATAATCCCATGCTGTTATGGAAATGTTCGAAAGAAAAAATCAAAATGAAATAAGAACAAAGCATTGACTTAATCAACATTATATTCATTGTACTTTACAGATTGAACGTGAAGTTGTTCTTTCATCAGGAGACAAGAACTCGAAAATTCCAATTCTTCACGAGTACAAGCAAAGAAGTGCCGGAAGGGCGGCAATCGCACCGGATGCACCAATCAGCCAACAGGCTTGGGTTCAGGAGGTGAGACGAAATTGCATGTTGTACCCAGGCACTCTGACCCTTTTTTGTCAAATTTTCTTTTATTTTTTGGCGAAGAATATATATATATATATATATCCTATACACTCCTAAGAAAAAGACTGTGAGAACTTGTCTTCTGGTCTAAAGGGTAATCAGGTTGATTTTCTACTTTATTGCCCGTTCTCAAACACAGAAAAAACTTGGACTCATTTTTGTTGCAACTCATTTTCTTTTGGGTATCGAAATGAGTATGGGACAAACTTCATGTTATTCAAAATGATATTGGCTGGAATTTCAGATTTCTAAGTTGGCATCATAAGCAGAGTAATTTTGTATTTCAATTATTGTTTCTAATATTTCAACAACACCAGAAAGATTATTTTGACCAGTACGAATATTTAGAAGTTTTTAAATAAAAATTATTTATTATTATTTACGTAGATAATAATTAATTTCATAAGTTTTTAAATTTACCGCTATTATTTAAGTTGGCAGTACCGTTCCTGTTGTCAAAACACATGTTTTCATTTTTCTAACCTAAAAACATATTTCCTTTATTATTTTATTACGCGATTACAAGCAATTTTTAATCAAATATATTAAGTCTAGCGTGTTATTTACTTCTTTGTAATTATTATATTTCATGTTTTTGTGCAAAATTATTCGTTATTTCACAATATTTTTCCATTTTTCTTTTTCTCAAAATGAAACTTGCCTGTTTCATTTTGATACTTTTACCTTAGAACTCGAAATGAGACAACCAGTTTCATTTTTGTTGCGAATCAAATTGAGTATAGAATCTATACTCAATTTGAATTCAGGTTTTTTCTGTGAATCAGCCAAGGTCAATTAAATTTAATTTTTACCCTTTTTTGCATATTAATTTGTTCATTTTATTGTAAAATTCTCTGGAAACATTTCAAAAGAAAAAAAAATATATATATATATACTAGAGAAATATAAAAAAACAAAATTAAAAGATAAATAAATTTAAATAAATTCTATTGTTATATTTATTTGTAAAATCTGCATTTTCGGGAAACATCAAAAAAGGGGAATTAATATTTAAAAAAGAAACATTTCTTCAATGAAGAAAAAACGAAAAAAAATATATAATGAGAGCTTTTATATTAAAAGTCCTTTACGAAAGCTTTCGTCTACTTTAACTTAAATGTTATATATATATAACGTTAAAATTACTACCCTTTCTTTACTGACTTGTCTAATTAACTCAATTACTTGGCTTTTGTGTACGGAAATACATAAGTACTCGAGTAAAATGTAAATAAAAAGTGAAATAAAAGACATTTCCCAAGTACATATATACTTAAGTATACCTGCGCAACAAGAAAAAGAAAAATACTTGCAGGTCAATTATTTTCATTTTATTTGCGATCATAAAAATTGCATTTTTATATCATTAAACTTTTTTATATATATATGTATCACTTGATCTACCATAATCTTTCGATTAATATAACAAGAAAATAATTATATATATATATATACTTTTACTTTTAATCGCTTTTCTTCAAAGAATAGGTCCTTAAAACAATAATTTTCTTGATTTAATAGAAAATGTATACATATATATAAAATAGGGGGAGATAAAGTGTAAATGTGAGGTAATTTTATTATTATATGTCACACATGAAACGCTATAACATGCAATATCGATAGTATATGTATATAACATTACTCATGACGGTAGACTCATTTAATTAAGTTAATCACCGAATCGTGAGATTCTACCGTTACGATAGCATATACTGAGACTCCCCTGAGTCTCGATTAATATAAATGATATTGTTTCAAATTGCCATCTTTAAAAAAAAAATACACATATATATACTCATAGCCATCAATATTATATATAGAGAAAAAAGTTTTCTTATACATATTTTCTATACAAATCGACAAGTTCTCGATGATCCCGATTCATTCTAGCGTTGAAAATGACCAACTTTCTTCATTCTTTTAATATTTACACATTATTCCTTCGTAATATTTATGTCTTTTCGCTCCATTAGCTGTAGAAATTTGTCGAAGATTGCTATGTAAGAGGATTTTCATTATCACGCAAAAAAAAAAAAACCCTAAATGATATCCTCGTACGATATACTCATTTTGAAATGTCATAGTAAAAATTATAGTAGAAGAACAAAAAATGTTTATCCCATAAAAATCATTAGTTAAAATTTTCATTTTAAAGAATTATTTTAGAAAGAATTATTTTTTAGACTTTTTATTTTTTCGAATTAACAGAATTTCTTTTTTAACAAATTTTTACTAAACAGAATTCTTATGTATCGAATTTTTATTTGTCCAAAATTGCAAATGTCCGAACAAACAATCGACAGAAAAATTTCGGCGCAATGTTTAAAATTCACCAATCAAAAGTTGTCAAAAAAATCGTGATTGGTGGATTTTAAAAAGTCGTGCCAAAATCGATTGTTTGTTCGGCCATTTGTAATTTCGGACAAATAAAAATTCAGCGTTTTAAAAATTCTACCAAATAAAAATTCGTAGCCTAAAAATTCTGTTAAATTAAAATTTTTTTAAAAAATAAATTCTAAAAAATGTGAATTGGAAAAATAAAAATTTGTCTAAAAAATAATTATTTATTTATTCTCTTGCTTACAACATGCCCCATTTAGGCACTTATAAAAGAAATAAAAAAAAAGGAATACAATTTTTTTATGTAAAGAACAAAAAAAAATATATTTATCCGAATTTAAAAGGTCATAGGTAAATTTAATCTGAAATCGCCCAAATAGAAATTATTTTTATGCGTATTACTGTATTACCACGTATTAGAGGAGAGTCGTCATCAGTGGGACATTTTTTTTAAAGTTTAATATTTAATTTTTAAAAAATGTATGCCTTTTTTTGCATCCATAAAAAATTTATATACATAATTATTCTATATATTGCAAAAGTTGTATTAAAATAAAACCCTGATTAAATAGGTATATAAAAATTTTTTGTAGAGATATCTCTACAAAAATTTTGTCAAGAAAGAAAAGAATCTTTTCCCATTTCGTTAATTGAAATCTTTTCTTGATAAGTATTTACTGATAGACAATTAAAATGCGGGGACAATTGTATGAAATATAAACAACCGACCTAATTCCGTTTTTTTTTTTTATTAGTTTCTGAATAATATTTATATCACTTCATAAAAGGAAATTATATAGGGAACAATATAGCGCGTATACACATATAGAAAATTCCCAAGCTTTCACTTTTTAAATTAAGAAATTTCATGTATAGCTACTTATACGTAATTATAGATGATAGATTATATTAAATAAAAAAATTCTCAACTTTGTAAAATTGTCAAGAGAGTATATATAATAGAATATTTAGCATGAAATTCAATTTTTTCATAAATATACTGAAAAAAATTTATTTGATTCAAATAATCGGTTACTTTTACTTTTACAATTATATCAAATAAATATTTACCAAATAATTTTTATTTGAATTAAACAAATTGTATTTGATGCAATATAATTTCTGTATTTAACTCAAATAATAATTATTTAATGCAAATAAATATTTATTTGATAATAGTCAAGTAACCGATTATTTAAATTAAATAAATTTATTTTCTCAATGTATTATTAGAACTCCATGCATGGAAAATTGGATTTTATTGTTATCCTAATTCTTCTATAAATACTCGACTGCGAACACTTCTTTTTTTTCAAACAGTAGGTAGTTCAATGAGATTCAGAAAATAGACATGAATATTGATCTCAATCGTAACCGTTAGATGAGTTAGCGATTCTCCACGCTCTATTATACTCAACGATCGGAAAGAAAAACTTCTATTCTTCCCTCGACGCATCGTTGTGTAAAAAAAAAAAACAAGAAAAAAAACTGACGAGACTTTGCACGCAACGAGAAGCAAAATACATAAAAAGGAGATAAAAATTATAAAAAGGGAGAACACGTTCCTCCCGCATAATTCAAGCGCACAAGATTCTTGTGGTGTAAAACACGTCCCTTTATAATAGTACATACAACAAATAATTAAAAACCAGTCTCTTTATAACAAGACACAAGAAAATGATTTGAAAAATAATTAGAAACAAGTTTATAACAAGGGAAGTGGAGAATATATTTGTTACTATATAGGTTCTAGTTACTATGATAATAATGATATATTTTATTACTAAATAGAAAAAAAAATAGTATTAGAATTTCTCAGTAATAACTTTTTCAAATATAATATTTTTAATATAAGAATAAAAGTTCTTCCCTCTTTAAACTTGAAAATTAATGTTTTTATAAATCATTTTTTATGTATCGTTATTTTTAAATAAAAATCTTGAAAATACGTTTTGTACATATCCAACTGCAAATATATATATATAGGTACATATATACCTTCTCGGTATGCAAGAAGCGTGCCACAGAAAGTTTAGCGGGGTTTGCAAGCAAAATGTTGTGTTGTTATTCCAGTTGCTTTCCTTCTTAAGAACCGAAGAACCGACTAACAAACTTTGAAATTCATCATACAGCTTATAATATCCCTCTTCGACCTATTATTATAGCAAGAATTTTATTTTTTTGGAAAAATTATCGCAAAATTCTGCAACAAGTATTTTTTTTTAAAAACAAAATTTCATCGGAAAAAAAATATTCGCAAAATAAATTCACTATGGACAATGATTTTAAATTATTTCCATGTAATTTAGTTTTAAATTCAAGTAACAAATGTACTTCATTTTCAGCGGAGTTTGATAATATAAACATCAAAATAATTATAATTATAATAAAGATTTAATTGACTAATTATATTTGAAATAAATAAAAAAAAAAAAATTTCTTTGTGACATATATTATTATAATCATTAAAAATTAATTAACCATGTTTTAATTATTTATTTGAATCATAGTAACACGAAGAATGAATCTCGCGCGATAAAGATATTAGCGTTATTTTTTTAATTGCAAAGAAATAACTATATAATAAATAAATGCGTAATCATCGCATGTGATTATTATTATAGTTTTGAGTTGTTTTAATTATTACTTCCAGTTGGTTTCGGATCGTGGAATTAAGAAAATTGAAATACACGTTAAGTTTATTTGATTTTAAGATATAATTTTATTTTCTTCCACGATTTTCATTAACGAAAAAGTTCGCTTCGATGCACCTCGATGCACCTTCAAACGCAAGTTGAATGTTTTCCGCTCTTAAAATTCTTGTTAAAATTTTAACTCGACTTATTAATCAAGTCTAAGCTATATAGCAATGATTTTTCTTTCGTTTCTAATTTTTTTTTCTTTTTCATAAAAAATAAGAAGAGAAAAAAAAAAAAACTTAATCCATTTTTTGCTCCAGGGAAATCAGATGCAGGAACTGAGACAAGAAAGTCAGAGAAACTACCAATCTCCAGAAACCTACTCGTAAGTAATCCGCAACTGTTCAGATATTAATTTTATTGTATTTAATATTGGGACACAAATAATGTTTTTTTTATTTTTATTAAATATAAAAAATTAATTACTAATGTAATTAATAGTAAAGAAGAAAAACAAGACAAGAATTTAATAAGTTAAAACAAATTACAGAGTTTGACAAATAAGATATCTTATATTTATAATTGATTCGAGTAATCTATAAGTTTAAATTAGTCGTTATAGAAACCTGAGACATCTATATTATTGAGTCTCTGTATACTGGTGGTACAACTTCCATCTCATTATGAATAGATTTTAATCTTAAATATCATTAAAATGCTAAAAGATTTGTTTTTTTTTTGTTCGTTTTTTAATGTACAGAATATCTTATAAGCAAGTGATTTGCATAAATTTCTCCGCAGTTCCACGGCTACAGGTGCTGTTCCTCGAACGACTAAAGTCGATGAGGAAAAGACCAAGACCCTATCAAAAACTTATCACACCATCAAGGATATGATCTCAAGTCGATTTGGTCCAAATCGAAAAGAAGTTGATCCAGAACCCGAAGCAAGTTTAAATAATGTGACGGAGGAATTGAGAAAATCGACACGTGATATTGAAGAGGACGAGATCAAGAAGAAGGACGGTATTTATGGAAAACCTCGAGCACAAGACTCCACACTCAATATGCAACAACAGTATTCAAAAAATTCCTATGGTATATAATAATATTCAATTTTTACTACTGAAATAGTAAAGTTTTAAAAATTCAAATTTTCAAAAATGAAAAACTGAATACGTATTTAGAAATTGATTGTTCTTTTTTATTTTTCTTCTCCATGTTTTGTTTCCAATTAATTTATCTTTTTTCGCTTATGAAAATACATTATCCCCCCCCCCCTTCGTGTGTTGTAGGCCAATATGGACACTCTTATGGTTACCAAGGTGGACAACAAACGGTTCCACTACCAGGACAACTTCAGTCTCCGTCTCAAATTCAACCGAGTTTGCCGGGACAAAGTGCACAACTTCATGTGACTCATCATACACCACCAGGAGGAGTTCAAATGGCTCATCAAACACAAATATCTGGTTTTGTTCAATCCACAAATGCTGGACAACCGGTTCAAAATGTAAACAGGGAATACGTGGTACAAGGAACTGGTGGTATGAATCAGGTAAGCAAAATCAAGTAGAATCTATTTACTGCACTTATTATTTTCCCGCACATATTTCTTCTTCTTTTTTTAAATCTTTCTTATTTCATTAATTTCTTCAATTCGAATATTTATTTTTCATTTTTATCTGGAATTTTTTAAATAATAATAATTGTTGCATCTTGAATAATTTAAAAAATCGTCCATCATTCTTTACTTTACTGAATATTCTTAATCTTCATCTTTATCTACCTTGTGAAAATCAGAATCATGGCTTGCCAGTGATGAAAGTCGGTCTATTGCTACAGCAATCATCAAATGCGCATCAGTCATCGCATCAAAGTTACCAAAGTCCTCAGCAGCTACTGCATCAGAGTCAACATCACCAAAGTCCACGATTCGCTCAACAGCATGCTCAAAATATGCATCAGCGTCAGTTAATTCAACAGATGCATCAACAACAACAACAGCAGCAGCAGCAGCAGCAGCTTGCTGGTGGACAACAAACAAATTCTCATGCTTTAAGAACACAAAACAGTCACTTTCCAGGAAATGTTTCTTATCAGCAATTTCAGCAGGCTAGACAACCTATGTCCAGATCTCAGATAGACTTACCGAGTACCTCTAGACAAACTCAGGATCTCCGAGTGTCCGGACAGGAAATTTACTATCACTACGCTCAAGGAAGACCCAGGTATCTTTTTAATCAATTTATAAATTGCTTAGATTATGTAAAGATGATAGGGGTTTTAATTACATACCCTTTCTTCTCTTCCGTTCTTAATTACAAATAGCCATAGGACAACATTTATTTTTGTGCGGCAAATGTCAAAGTTGCTTTTGGTAGGATTTTTCATGCTGATTTTGAATTCATAAGTGAAAAATTTCCATCAGCTATATTTTTTGAGAAAATTAGGCTCAAGGGGTAAAAAAATCGAGCTAGAACCTTTTGCTCAAATTAAAGCTTGAACAATCGATAGCAATCCCTGAAAAGCACATTTCTGCACTGTAAACCCAAAGTCATTGGTCATTATCAGTCATTTTTTTCTTGGGCTTTAATTAAAGTTTGAACATTTGACTACAATCTCTAAAAATCACATTCTTGCACCATTGATTTCAAGAAAATAGTTATTTTTAAAACTCCAAAAACAGATTATAGAAAATTTTCAATATCTATATAGTACTGAAACAAAAAGGGATAGAACTCTTTTTTGGCATTACTACCATTTAACCCTCTAGGTATGGGTGGGACTTGAGCGTCGCATAGATTTAAAATTTTTTTTTAACAATTTTACTGCAGAAACAAATATCTAATACTTATAGTATAGTAGATTTCAGTAGGTAAAGAAGAGTATTTCTGTACCATCGAAAATCGTTATTCAATTGTTTAAACATTAAAAATATTATAATTGTCAATAAATTTCAAGTCCAATAACAAAAAACAGTGAATTTACCGTTTTTTTTCAATTTCAACAATTTTCCTCCAAATCCGAAGCATATAAATTAGATAAACTAAAGCCTTGAAAAAATTTTATGATAACTTCTAAACACCCTCGGCCGATTTTTGTTGCAACTTGTTCGGGGCACCAGCTCACTGAATATTTTCCTAAAAGAAAAATCAAAATTCGCCGGAAGCTTTTTTTTAATTTCAATTTTTGTGTTTTTAGCAACGAATTTAAAAAAAACTGGTTTTTCTGATAACATAAACTAAAGTTAAATTTTAACTAGTCAAATATTTGTCAAAAAATTATAGAAAAATATAATTCTTATAGAGAGTTTTCAGTAGAATTGGAACGTGATATTAGCTTTCGAATTTAAGGCCAGAGGAATCCTAGGAAATCCGGAACTTCGAAACTTTGAAAAAGCGCCTGTGAAATTGTTTTGAAAATCTTCACACTTTTTCCAGATTTTCTAAGATTCCTCTGCCTTCAATTCGACAGCTAATGTCAGGTTCCAATTCTACTGAAAATAAGAATCATGTTTTTAAATAATTTTTTGAACAATATTTGACTAGTTAAAATTGAATTGAATTTACGGATTTGTAATCAGCATGAAAAATCCTATACCAAAAATAGCTTTGACATTTGCCGCACCAAATTTGTTTTCCAGTATTTTCACTTGGTGTTTATTAAGTTTTACTATGCGCTGATTTGAAGCTATCTTGTTTCGAATCAACTTATTTCTTATTTACAGTTAGAATTTTTATATTCATAAAAGTAAAACAAAAGGATAAGGGACCCTCTGCAATTATAGAAATGAGATATTTTAATGATTAAAATCTAAAATTTCTATTTTCAAGGTATGGAGTGCCTCAAGTTTACATGAAGCCCGAAACGCCAAATCAGGAGGTTGAATACCAAAGGCAAAACACCACCAAGGGAATTGAGAAAGCTGCCTCTCAACCACATTTATCATTTGAAGAAGAACGACTTGGTAATAATGAGAGCTTCACTCAACGCAACAATAATTCCACCGAACCAATGAAAATCAGTGCCTCTGTAGATCCATTGGACAAGGAGAAATATGAAATCACCGTCGAGGAACATCAAATGGATTTCGGTAGAAGTGGATCACAGAGAAAAGATGAATATCGACCTGAGACAAGTTTTGGAATACGTCGTGAAGAGGCGCGATCATCAAAAAGAGAACAGGATCATCATCATCATCATAATAATAATAAACAACAAGATGCTCAAAATTCTAATCAAACATTATCAGTACAAAAACGAATAGAGGAACTTCAAAAGAAAAATGAACAAGACGGTATTTATACAGCGAAACTTTCTAAAGAGGGCAGTGAAAATGAAGATATAATTCGAAATTCGGGACAAAAAATGGATATTACAAAAAGAATGGAAAATTCACAAATTATTAATAATAAGGAGAATTATATGAAAAATGAAACAAGAAATAAGGATGATATTGAACATGGAATTGCAAGAATGAAAATTCAGGGTCAAGGTTCAGGTTCTGATTACGATAAGGCAGGTCAGAGTTCATCAAATGTGGATTCTGGCAGAGGATCTGCTGTTTATTCAAGCGGAAGACGACCACCTCCCGAGAATCAAGGACACGCTCAAGGTAGTATTGATATATTTAGAAATGAATTTTCTTTTTTTAAATAATTTTAATTTCCCAAAAAAAATTAATTGCAGATAATTTAATTTGAAAATTATATTTTATTTTTCGTTTCTAGGTCAAGATTCTGAGTGGGTGGATATTGTGGAATCAGAATTGAGAAGCATTTTGGAGCCAAGAGATGTTCCGGCAATGGCGCACTCCACTTTATCCGAAAGTGTGTCGTCTGTAACACCTCCCTTGCCTCCTTTATCGCCCCATGGCAGTCCTAGAACTCCACGAAATAGATATTCAGCAAGGTAAATGATATTTTTATATTCTGCATAATGCATATATCTTCGTTGAAGCGTTTGTGGACCAAGTCTGAATATTTTCAAATAATATGAATATTCATCATCTTTTCAATTTATTTCTTAGCGTAGTAAATATTGAACAAACACAAGTGTTCTACAATATTTACGCACTCTGCGCATAATTTTATTTAGAAATTAAATTTTTATCATTATATTTTAATACATAATTTATTGTTTATTTTTAGTAATATTTAAATTTTACTTAAAAATTTTTTTTATTTACTCCATTATTTATTTTGTGTTGTTGAAAATATTTTTCAGCTTACCGTATGGATCAAAGCCAAACTACAATGAATATAGTAAAGGATGTGACAAAAGAAACTACCCGAGCTCCTCTAAGCATCGTGGTGCTTCAACTTCAAAGAAAGATTCTACGAAAAAGTTCTCTCATTGTAAGATCAAATACTGAATTGTTAACGCGTATATCTTGCCAATATTAAAGTCAAATTTTCACTTTTGAACGCTTCTCAAATGCTTCTTGGAAATGAAGGAAATTTCTTTTAAATCAGAAACATTTTGCCCTTGATATATGTAAACTGATATTCAAAAAATATTTCTTCGATAATCATTTTTTAATTTAAAGTAATATTTTCTTTTCTTCGACGTCATTCGAAGAATTTAAAAGATTTTAATTTATTTTTTGTTAAAAAAAAATTGTTTGTTGAATTAAAAGAAGGTTCTTTTTTTTCTAACATTATTAAAATGTAATTTTTCCAAAAAAAAAAACTTTATAATCAAAAAAGTAAACAATAATATTTCCACTTAGTATTCGGTGTGGAAGCCGCGGATTTAACATCAACAACAACCGGGCTCGATTTAGATTCGATGCTAGACAGAAGTGATTCTGACCTGAGTACAAATGATGCAAGGACAATAAGAAAACAATTGGAGGGTCTGGAAAATATGTATAGCGAAGTGAGTTATTACATTATATGAAAATAAATTTGAATTTTAATTTTGGAAAAATGGAAATTATATAAATAGTTTAAAAAATCATTTTTAAATATTTCCTTTTTAATTTTCTCTTTTAGAATTTTTTTTTTTTTTTTTAAATGCAAATCATTATGAAATATTATCTTCATTAAATATTATTAAATAAATAGGCTTAAAAATTACAAGAATAATTATGAAGAAGAAGAAAAAGAAAAAAAAACATGTTTCAAAAGCTCTTGACAATAAACCAATTTTTTTTTTTTTTTTTTTGAGCACAGGTTTTAAAATTACTTGGCGGAAGTGTGAAGAAAAAGCGAAAATCAAGAGGACTCACCAGTTACGGCTCAGTTTCTTCTCTTCCAACTTCATCAGTTTCTTCCAGACCAGTGACAAGGCATCACGACAAACGAAGATCACACGCTATGGATGACAGAATGAAAAAAGTTAAAGATATTAAAGTGCGTTTCATTATTATATAAATTAAATTTTTTTTTCTTTAATTTTTCAGTAAATAATGTAAAAAAAATTATTTATCTAAAATTTTTGAATGAAATTTTAATTTTGAATTGATATTTTTGAAAAATATATTTTACTGTTATAAATAATTTAAAATAGTTACTCTCCTTATTTTTCAGAGTATCAATAAACGCTTTCAAAGGCTAGAATCTCACGTGGTGACTCTGGCAAGATCCGTAGCGCATCTGAGTTCTGAGATGAGAACACAGCATTTAATGATGCAGGTAAAAAAAAATTGACTTACCCTTCTTGTAGAAGAACAGAAAAAAAAATTAATTAATTAAAAAAAAAGTACTTAAGATAATTAATTTTTATAATTAATTTCTATTTTATTGAGTCATCTAAATCAATGACAATAAAATTCATTTGTCGTTTTTTTTTTTCCTTGTGTCAGGAAATGGAAAACATTAGGGGTGAAATTGCGGCTTTAAGAACTCAAACGAGCATGGCAATGGTGAGATCACAGTCTCAGCCTCTCATCAAGGATTCGGAATTGCCAGCCCTCTCGAATCCTTCAAGGGTGAAAAAGCTCACCAAGTTTTTTGGAACAGAACCGCCACTCATCAGGCTTTTTCTCCGGGAACTAGGGTATGAGGTAAAGTACTTCGCACACAAAAAAAAACTACTGCCATGAAGATTTCTCAGAAAGATTCCTTTTTGAAACAGTATCCATTTTATTAGATAAAAAAATAAAAAAAATATTTTCCCCTACTTTTTTTTTAAATATAATAAAATATAATTAAAAAAAATTTGTAGAAACTAGTGAGAGTTGAAGTTTTGTTATTTACTTTCTGTAAATTTTTTTTTAACGACTTAAAATTTAAGGGATTTTTACTCTCACATGGGACAAGAATTTACAAAAGTTTCAAACCAATCCAAGAATTTTTTTGATTGTGATATTTAAGAAAGAATAAACCTCATTAATGAAGTGAAAAAATTTTTTGTTCCCATATTTTTAAAATGATTTTAATGATTATATACTTCAGAGTAGTAGCTTTTTACACATGTTGCACTGTTTATGACCTTATAATAATGCATGATTTATACATATGAGTGAAAATTTCCCAACTGGGCCACCTAAAACTGACTTTTCAAATTTAAAATATTTTTTTTCATAATCTATTGCAGGAAGCCAAATTAAAAACATTTCTGAAATGCGTTTTTAAAAAAATTAATTTTTGAATTATTTATTAACAATTGAATATTTTGTTATCTTTCCACTAAATTTGCAATTACTCTGTTGCTGGTTAATGAAATTTAATAAAATTTGGTGAGCATATAATAGAAAAATTATGTCTCTTTGAAATGCAATAGAAATTTCAATTAATCGAAAAGATTTTAATTGGGACGCACAACGTGTACTAAGTTTGAATTTTAGAAAATTAATTTAACGTAGAACCAAATTTTTCAATAGCAGAATTTTTATTTAACTGAATTTTTATTTTAAAGAATTTTTATTTAATCGAATTTTTTTTAATAGAATTGTTATTAAAGCCTAATTTTTATTTAACCAAATTCTTATTTAATTAAATTTTCGCTAAACCAAATTTTTATTTAGCTAAATTAGTATTACTATAAATTATATTAGTATAAATTAGTATAATTCGATAACAGAGAATAGGCTTCGATGCGTAGTAGCGCGCCGCGCGCGGCAGTGGTGATTGTTCAAGTGCGTAATTTACTCATTTTTTAAAGGTACTAAGATTTTTTTTTTAAATTAAAATTGAGAAAGTGTAGATTTATGTCGTTTTTGAAATTTTTTCCTAAACATATGAGAAATAGTTTAAATATTCATTTGTTTATTAAATAAACAATTTTTTTTGCATAAACAATAAAAATTAATTGAAATTTCTATTGCATTTCAAAGAGACATATAATTTTTCTATATGCTCACCAAATTTTATTAAATTTCATTAACCAGCAACAGAGTAATTGCAAATTTAGTGCGGAAAGGTAACAAAATATTCAATTGTTAATAAATAATTAAAAAATTAATTTTTTTAAAAACGCATCTCAGGAATGTTTTTAATTCGGCTTCCTGCAATAGATTATGAAAAAAAATATTTTAAATTTGAAAAGTCAGTTTTAGGTGTCTCAGTTGGGAAATTTTCACCCATATACAAGATGTTTAAAAAGTATGGAAACTTGCAATTATCTCGAAAAGTACGTATTTTTGTGAAAAATGTTGAACACAAAAAGTTGTTCCCAACAAAAAGTTCTACATTTTTGAACCTAAAATATTGGGCCCGTAGTCCAATGTGAGGCACTACAGTGAAAATAGAAATATCACGAAAATACGTACTTTTCGAAATATTTGCAATTTTCTTTACTTTTTGAACAATCTGTATAATAATTTATCAATTATTTAATAATATGACAATAAGTTGATTTAATTTTCAAATTGAAGCAAGATTTATTTATATTTAATGTTTCATATTCTTATTTACAAGTAACTTGTTATTTTAATGTAAAAAAATTTTTAATTAAATTAATTTTCACTATACCATTATTTATTTAATTTAATTAAACAATGACATATTTTTAAAGAATATTAAAAAAAGATTTAAAAAAAAAAATTGTAAAATTAAATTATTAGGCACGTAAATATTATTTTTTGAAATACATTATTCGCGAATGATGTAAAATATTATTAAGCAAAAGCTCTTGTGAATTTGGAAAGTAATCTCAATGTAAAAATTTATCTAGTTTTTTTGTTAAATTGAATTCTCCTTTGAATCTAATAAAAAATGTGATTTTCACATAGAAATACGCCGGCGCCTTCGAGAAAGAAAGAGTAGGAATGGTTGAATTACCCTACTTGAGCGAAGAAAGGCTGCAAAAGATGGGTGTCCCATTGGGACCAAGACTGAGAATTTTGCAAGAAGCGAGGATATCCGTACTGAAAGATCCAGTGTACGTGGTGTAACCATGTACCAAAAAAAGACAAAAAATAAATAAATAGAAAAAAGAATGTCAAAAGGAACTTTTATATAGAGAAGTGTCCAGAGAACGAGAGAGAAAGAACAGTGAAAATAAAGCGCCTTTTTTATATTCAAACTGTCTTCCTGTGTTCAACTTCTCTCGAGTAGAAAAGAAAAGTGAATTTGCCGGAAAACTTAATCAAAAAAAAAAAAAAAAGAAAAAAAAAGACTTTACAACTTTATAAACTAAGTGCTATTTAAAATGTTAAATATCACAAATAGTTCAAATATGTCTTCGCTCAGTTATCAAACTCTTGTTCATTTTCTTTAGCAAAAAATATTTTCCTAATTTAATTAATTAATTAATTAATTATAAATTACATTATAATTTCTTTAAAAATATCATTTTCATTTCATTTTTTTTTCTTTTGAGAAACATTTAAGAAATAGAATTCAAAATTTTTATTTAATTTAATAATTATAATGATATTTATAATTAATTAATTATTGATATCTTCTAATAGAATGAAAATGTAAAAAGTTTCAACAAAAAACCAAGGATTAATAGATAAAGCATAAATGAAATTCAAGAGCGCCTTTGCCAAAGAGCGATATGTTTTTGTTGTTATATTAATCGATTGTTGAAAAATATAATTTGTCTTATTATGTATTAAAATAGACAATGTAAAATGCTGATTTTTTTTGACAAAAAGCAAAAAAAAACAAAAAACAAAAAATGTACTTTCTTGAATAATGCCAAATAATTTCCGACAAGTTATTTCCTTTTTTGATATGAAATTCTTTTCAAATGTACAGTGCAAAAAAAAAATCATTATCAATCGTGATAGGAAATATTTTTTTTTTTTTTTAATTATATTGTTGCGTTGTTTACATTCATATTTAAAGAACAAATAGTACCGCTAAATACTCATATAATATAAGTTTTTCAAAATCCTACTTTGTAATATATTAAATTCGTAGGATGAGGTTTTTTTTTCTTTATAATTCTACAAAAAAAAAAATTAATCCTAAAATATATGATTAATTTGCATAAAATATGAAAATAATGATAAATGAAATTAAAAATACCAATTATAATTAGTATTTTTGTTTAATAAGTTTAGTAAGTGATTTTTTTTGTTAGCATTGAAAATGCTAATTATAATCAGTATTTACATTTTTTATACATATATATATATATATATATATATATTTAAAAATAGAATGTTTCTGCAATTATATTGTATATCTTTTTTTGGAGTTTGTTTGTAATATTTATTAAAAATAAAAATGGTCTAAAAGAATTGATCTATTAATTGATTTTTGAAATTAACCCAAAGAAATTTATTATTCAAACCAAATATAATTTCTTTAAATTAAATTAATAAAAAAAAATTTTGTTTGAAGCAAATAAAAGTTATTTGAGACAAATAAAGAAATAAAAAAAAATTCTATTTAGCTTTGAGAGAAATATATTTTTTCTCTACGTGAGAAAATTAATAAAATATACTTCCTCTATATGAGGAAGTAATATAAAAATTATTAAATAACATTTTGTTATTTTTTTCTTTAATTAATAATAAACAATTACATACCCGCTTTCGAGCGAGTTTAATTTTACTGGTGATAGAATAAAATTGAATATTTTTATTTTTTTTTAAATATAGTACAAGTGTTACATTTTTTTAAGGTAATATACATTGTTTTATAAGAAAAAAATAAGTATAACATACTGTTTGATTTCTTTTAAGTTTATAAGGGATTTTTTCATTTTCTAGGTGAATATTCTTTCTGAAATAATAGAATAAAATTGAATGTTCTTATTCTCTTGCAATTTAGGTTCAATTAGTGGGTTTTTTTTAAGGTAATAATTGTTAAAGTACTTTTTGTTATAGCAAAATTGACAAAAAAATTCAATTTTTCTTAGACAAACTATTTCAATGCAATTTCCTGCACAAAATACACCCAAAAGTGTAGAAAAAAATTGACAGCATGATAGGAGTAGAGGAAGACCCCTATTAGCACCATTAAATACTTTTCGTCATAGAAAAAAATGCCAAAAAAATCAATTCTTCTTAGGCAGACTATTTCATTGCAATTTCTTGCAGAAAATACACGTAAAAGTGTAGAAAAAAATTACCAGCCAAATCCGAGTAGAGGAAGACCCCTATTAGCACCGTTAAAGCACTTTTCGTCATAGAAAAATTGCCAAAAAAAATCAATTCTTCTCAGGCAGATTATTTTATTGCAATTTCTTGTGCAAAATACACCCAACAAGTTATAAATTCAGATGTTCATTACATGAACATTTTCTTCCTGTTTACGATCAGCAAAAAAATATGCTTCCTCGTGGAGAAAGCATTAACATTAAAATAAACTTTCAAAAATAATATAATAATAATATAAACATTTGAGTACCTATGTATTTGAGTTAAATTTAAAGAATTAATGGAAGTTAAAAAATCAAAAATTCACATTTTATTTGAAATTTCTGAAAATTAATGAAAAATAATAATAATAATATAATTTATAATTATTTACAATTGTTTCGGTTTGTTTCAATGCAAGGAAAACAATTATTTTATATTTAAACTTGAATTTAAATAAATACAAAATTTTTCAGCTAAAATGGGAATTTTTTTTTTTAACTTTCTTAAATTTATTAAATTTACCTCAAATGTATACTTTATATATAGATACCAATCAATTCGTTTTCATGCAAGAAATACAATTATTTCATATATAAACTTCAATTTAAAAAATCGCAAAATTTGATTGCCAAAATGTGAATTTTTGATTTTTTAACTTTCATTAATTCTTTGAATTTAAATTGAAACTATACTTTATATAGGTATACCAATCGATTTGTCTTGACGTAAGGAATACGATTTTATTATATATTACCTTTAATTTTTCTATTTAAAAATTTTTTCGATTAAAAAAAAAATTTTGGAAAAAAGACGATAAAATTTTTTTTTTGGTATTTTTTAAAATCCTTTGGTCAGATTTGAGATATTAATTGCTTCAATTGGTAGGGTTTTTTGAAGGTAATATGTGTTGTTTGAAGGTAAAAAAATAATGGAGAGGTGTTGTTTTATTTTATTTTACTTTGTCAAGGATTTTTTCATTTTCCAGGAAAACATTCTATCTAAAAAAATGGAATAAGATTAATTGTTCTTTTTCTCCAGTTATTTAGGTTCAATTGGTAGGGTTTTTTGAAGGTAATATGTGTTGTTTAAAGGTAAAAAAATAATGGAGACATGCTGTTTAATTTTATTTTACTTTGTAAGGGATTTTATCATTTTCCAGGAAAACATTCTATCTAAAAAAATGGAATAAAATTGATTGTTCTTATTCTCATGCAATTTAGGTTCAATTGGTAGGGATTTTTTAAGGTAATATGTGTTGTTTGAAGGTAAAAAAATAATGGAGACATGCTGTTTGATTTTATTTGACTTTGTAAGGGATTTTTTCATTTTCTAGGAAAACATTCAATCTAAATTTATATTATTATAAAATGCTTGGTCTGTCCTTCTGTCCTAAGTTGAAGTTTGTCTATTCTGATTTTCCTTTTTTTTTTTGAATTGTAATGTTATGACGTGTCAAATTTTGAAAATTACTTTTCTCATTTTTGACAAAGTTGTGTAATTGTGTTTTCAAATTTGGGAATTGGTTTCTTTAAATTTTTTTATAACAAACAAAGCAACAGTAAATTTCGCGCGTATGCCCGCTTTTAATTTTGCTACTAGTATATATTTGAACTTTCATTGCTTGATGTTTGTTTAGGAAAATAAAACTTTTGTTTTTACAACCTTTAACCAGATCCCATATATTATGTCAAATTTTCTCAAACATTAACATAATATCTCATGCTTTGTAAAAAAAAAACTTATCTGAAAGTTACTTCAATTATCTTAACACCATGTGATGTAATCTCTACAATTGCTTTGACACAATTGAATATAAAGGGGAGTCACTGAACTGGGACATCAGCTTAATTTCTCAACAGTAAAGATGTTTTCAATTATATATTAAAGATTTTTCGCTCAATTTATTTATGTCAAATTAAACAAAATAGAAATATCTTTTTTTTAAATAAATATTTTCTTCCTGTCACGAATAGTTTCTCGCGCTCTGAAGAAAAGGACCTTAGAAGCAAACGAATTATAGGTTATGTTTACGATAATTTTACCTTGATTAAAAGTTTCTTTCTACTTTTGTAAAATTAAAATCAGTTTTTATTAAATATTTTGAATGTAATGTAGATTTAAATATCAATTATTTCCATTGAGAGTTGATTCTCTTTATGTATTTTCAATTTAAAATTTCAAAACATAACCTATATTTTTTTTGCTGCTAAGGTCCCTTTTTTCAAATTTGTCAATTTTAATTAAATGATTTCTTCATATAATTTATTACACTTAAAAATTTTGTTAACTACCGAACGACTTCCAGATGTCAAATAAAGGAAATGCACAATTTAACAATTGGAGTCAATTATTTTTCTAGTGAACACACTAGTTGAGATCACGCTAGTTTTGGTCCACGTGAGCAAAAATTTAGTGACTAATTTTGAATTTTATTTTTCTTTTTTTACGTAATCAAAAAAAAAAAAAAAAAAAAAAAAAAAAAAAATGTTTATAATTGTAAATTTTTATTTTGTTCATTTCTTAAAATTAACAAAATAATCCTATTCTTTGTGTGTATAAATTTTTACAATATTTTCATTAATATAAAATATAAAAAAAATTTATTTTCGTCTTAAAAAAAAATTATTTTCTAATGGTTCATCATAAACTTTGTATGGTTTACAGTTACACAAAAGTTAGTTTTAATATTAAAAAAAAATTATAAAAAAAACAAATAATACTATAGATTATATTTCCAAATGAAGGAATTATAAAAAATTTATATTTTTTTTTTCATAAAAAAATAGCATTGACGATTTAGGTTGTGAATATTTAAAACTAACTATAGTTATCTCAATTGAACTGTGGCCCCCCTTCTCTTCGTTATCAGTCCACCCAACTTGATCATCACAACGTTTTTCTTTCACTTAGTTGCTGACCCTTCATCAAGAATGATTAGCCAAAGTGTATTTGCTTTCGTTTTGCTGCTGATTTCCACAGCTTTTGCTGAAGAAGTTGAATGGCATTATTGCAATCCTGGTATGTAATTACTTGCTAATTTAAATAAATGTTAAAAAAAAACAAACAAACAAAGACATGAAATTAATTGAAAAAATTTTTTCTAAAACATTTGGAAAAAAATTTGTATAATTCAAATAGTAATTTTATCTCAAATTAATTATTAAAATTAATTTTTGAATTTATAAATACAGTTTTTTTAAAATTTTTATCAACAAGTGTCAGAAACTGAGTGCGAGAAAAAAAAGCTGCAATTCTCAGTAAAAATGAATTTTAATAAATACGATATTTTTTTCGTTTAATATAATTAAATATAAATTATTTCAATTTAAAAAATATAATAAACAGACAAAAATTTTTTTGTAACACCAACGTTTTGATTAAATTTTAATTGACTTACTACTATTGTAACGTTACTCTTACACAAGTAATAAAGTTTATTTATTATTTCTTAAAACGAAAAAAAAATTATATATATTAAAATTTTGGTTTCTTTAATTTTAAATGAAAAAATTTCTAAAATATTTTAAACATAAAATTACATGAATTCATTTTAACTTTCAATAATATTTATATTTAAAATATAAATTATATTATCATAATTATCATAACTAAATTAATATAAAAATATTTTTAAAAGCGTGCTAGGAAGATATTTGTATCTTCGTTGCAAGTATTTAGTTTATATTTGATAAATTTTTAATTTGTTTTCAGAATTCAAATTTATATATTTTACAAGAAATAATAAAAATTTTATTAAAATTCCTTTCATTTTAATATTCTAAGAGAAACATATATAGAATTTTTCCTGCAAAATATCACAATTTTTTAAAATTATATACGCTATATGTAGTCGGTAATGACTTTATAATTCGATATAAAGTATAAAATACAAAAATTTTGCTTACACACACGCAAAAATTTATAGCGTTTTAAAATTACTCTGAATCATTTCACTATATGACATTTGAACTGCGCGGAAGTTTAACGTCACTGTATACATGCGCGTGTTGTAAAGATCATCAATGTTATTACGTATATAATATTATACGACATAATTTTCTCCAAATAGGTATATACAGTGCAACCTCGATTATCCGAACTAATTTAGACAGGACCGGGTTCGGATAAACGAAAATTCGGATAATAGAAATTTCAAATGTTTTTATATATAATTAAAGTAAAACAATGTCACAGTTAAACTATAATAATAATAATAATAATAATAATAATAATGATTTACTTCAACTAAATAATTTTTATTTGAATTAAATAAATTTGTACTTTTTAAACCAATAATTACTGTATTTGAAACAAATACCGCATTTAATTGATTCAAATAATAATTATTTGTTACAAATAAATATTTGTATTAAATATATATATATATTTTTTTTTAAATAATAATTAAGATATAAATACATTAATAAAATGAAAAGACAAAAAAAAGTTCGGATAACAGAAGTTCGGATAAAATGTTTTACGGTTCGGATAACAGAAGGTACGGATAACAGGAGTTCGGATAATCGAGGTTTCACTGTATTTTGAAACAAAAAATATATATATCAAGATAATTATTATCGAGAAAAATTATAAATATTTTATATTTTATAAGAGATAATAAAAATGATTATATGAATGAATTTTATTTTGCAGAAAGTCAAAATCTATGTACAATTCAAAATGTTCAAGTAATTCCTTGTAAAGAAGCAGCCAATAATCAACCGTGTAAATTAAAAAAAGAAAAAGATGCACAAATCACATTTAATTACACAGCAAGTGAGTATATATATATATATATATTATAATATTTTTTTATTTAGATAAAAATATTAAAAAAATTTTTTCAGTCAAAGCAAATTTTTAATTTACAAAAAAGTATAAATAAATATTTATTATTTAGGAAAAATATATTTTTGTTTATTTAATTCAAATATCTTATAATTTAGTTGCAATAAAAAATTTATTTGGAAGAATAAAATATGCAAAAAAAAAATATTCTAATACCAAGAATAAAATATTTTTATACATTGAGAATATTTTTTTCTCGATATATAATAAATAACTTTTTTTTTTAATTTTCGACAATAATTCATTTATTTAATTTATTTTAACAGACTTTAATGCTGAAAATGCAGTGTCTCAAGCATATTGGGATTCGGGCATTTTGGATATTGCATTGGCTGGAATGAACACTAATGCCTGTAAAAATACCAAATGTCCTATTGTTAAAAACGAAAGTAGCTATTATGATATAAAGATACATATGAGTAAATTGTTTCCCTCCGTAAGTATTATTTTTTTTAAATTAATGAAATATTATATATTTCATGAAAAAAAAATTAAGAAATTTAATACAATTTATTTGATCTCATTTTAATAGTTAATAATAATAATAATATATTTAAAATCATTTAATTAAAGACAAAAACTAATAAATTATTTTTCTTAAATTTATACAGAAAGAATTTAAGGTGAAGTGGAAACTATGGAATAAGGAACAAGTAGATGAATTATGCTGTTTTACTATTAACATTAGAATAATGCCATAATTGTTTGTAACTGAGATATAAGAAAAATTCTAATTTTACATAAGTGATTTAATTAAATAAATAAATGTTTTTGATTTTAAAAATTCTACAGTTATTCATTTCTTATTTATTTAAAAACAAGTAAAATATTTTTCAACAATAAATTCAAATATAAAAAAAAGTACCTAATTCAATCAAATTTAATTATTAATTTAAATAATTTTTTTCAACATGATTAAAATACTAAGAAACAATACTTCCTCTTCGGAGGAAGCAATATATATATATATATATTAAAATAAATAAAAATTTCAATTAAAAATAAAAATTATTTATCAAATAATTAATATTAAATATATTTTAAATAATAATAATAAGAAGAAGAAGAAGAAGAAGAAGAAGAAGAAGAAGAAGAATTCATAGTATAATAATACAAATTAAAAAATAAAAATAATTGAAAAGTCAGTTAATAATTGAAAAAAAATATTAATATAACAATTGTTATTATTTTTAATTAAAATTAGTCATTTTATAAAAAGGATTAAATAAGGAAAATTGAAAATAATTTTGAAAAAAAATCGCTGCGGACAGGATTCGAACCTGTGCGGGCAAAGCCCATTGGATTTCGAGTCCAACTCCTTAACCACTCGGACACCGCAGCTCATGTCAGACGTTTCGAAACTTCACGATATAAGTTGAGGGCTGTGTTACGAAACACATTCAATACTAAATGTTGGAAATGTGGGAATTTCAAATCCTTAATGTATTTATTTTATTTCATAAATAAATAGTTAAAAATAAATAAAAAACTGAATATATAAAATGTAATTATAAAATATATATTTAACATCAGCGGAAATGTTCTGGGAGTTATCATTATATATATCACTAATTATTAATAAAATATACGAAAACCTAAAATATATCATTGAATATGAATAATTACAAAATTAACCTACCATCCTATGTAATTTGAACGATTCGAATTCAATATCATTTTTGCATTATTTAATTTTAAAATCATTAATTATTAATATTTAGTAATCAATTTTACTAAAATAAAGACTATAATATCTACATAATTATAATTTTTGATTTAAAAATACATAATTTTAATTTAAAATTAACATAAAAATTTTGTTTGGCATTAATAAAGTTTTTAATTGAACCAGCAGAAAATTATATTGTATTAAAATAATATTAAACGCGTTATTATTTTTTTATATCAATAATTAGATTAAAAAAAAAGAGAATTTCATTTTATTATTTCAATATAATACAATCTTTTGTGATAAAAGAAAATATTTATTTGGAACAATTAAACACATTTATTTGACTCATATGAAAAAAAAACAGAAAATCTTATTTTAAAGGGGGAAATTAGTCTTATTTTATATATATATATAATGTGCAACATTTTTAAGACAACCTTATTTATTTAACCTATAATTAGAAATTTATATTAACATAAAATTTACTTTTTACTGAATCAATTAAGAGTGTACAACAATATTATCAATTGAAAATTTAAAAAAAAAATTTTAACTTGCCTAAATTAAGAATAAGAAAAAGTGCATCATCATTTTCGTGACATGAAATTTTGACAAAACTTTTTATTTTTCAATTTACGTATTTACTGTGTTTTATACGCGGGAGGAACGTGTGTTTATTCTCTATTATATATTGTACTCTTGAGAATAATAAATAGTAGATCAAATTGAATGAGATGTTTTACTTGGGCGTTTTAAACCCACATTGTTGAAAACAGTATAATATATATATATACCATATAAGAATCAATATGAGAATGTTATGATTTGTATACTTTACCGACTGAATATAGTTAAAAAAGAATATAATACCTTCAGAAGGTAAAAAGACGACAATTCAACGTCCACGTGCAAACGAGTCTTCGCAGTTGTATATTATTTACTTATGTTACATATTTTTCTTACTTTCTACTCAATGGCAACTAAATAAGGCGACAACTCGTCTTGTATTATAAACATATTCTACGGCCATTTTGAATTTTTGAAAACGAATTCCACATTCGTAATCAGCGACCCTGAAAATCCCCGAGTAATGAGTTTCAAACAAATCGAATTAATTTTTAAAAATTCGTACTCCATTATGGATCCGCCATTTTGAATTTTTAAAAACAGATTTCAGATTCATAATTGGTAATGAATTTTTTTTTTCAAAATAATTAAATTGTGAACAAATTATTTATTTATAATTGCTTATAATTTTTGCATAAATATTAATACTTTTATTTTCGTTTCATTCAATAATATTATGTTTCCTATCAGTTAAAAAAAAAATATTATGAATATTGCTTAAAAAACTTAGAATACAGTAAGAAAAGTTGTAAATAAAATAGGTGGTAATTTGGGTTACCTTAATATTTTTTAATCCTGAATTCCGAAGTTAAATCTTATGAAATTTCATTCCGATTAAATCCGCATCTCACTCCATTTCCAAACCAATAGGATTGATTTATGGAATAAAATTTCAGGATTCAAAAGGATTAAAATTTAGTTTTGGAATAAATAAACGAATGTATTTGGATAGAAAAAAACAGAATTGAAAAGAATTAAAATTCAGCTTCGAAATGAATCGGATTTGTTTGGAAAGATTATTTTATTAAGTTATCATTAAAATTTATATATAGATTCGGATAGAAACTGATCGGAAATAAATTTCGGAATGTCTCCGAAAATTTCGTCAAACAAAATCAATTTTTAATATGTTTTGTATATCATTAAAAAGACATATATAGCGTAAAATTTGACAATTGTTTTTTATTGTAAAAAATTTGTAAATCTTTATTCGCGAATGCAACTTTTAATTTAAAAATTGTGTTTTCAAAATACAAAACTATGGGCATAACTTTTTTTTTCTTTGACTGCGTTTATCCGATTTTTCTTTAATTGTAAGAATATTAATTTTAATTATCATTTGTATTGTATAATTAATTTCTCTTTTATCTCCCTAAATTTGAATTTAAATAAAGGAAATTTCATTAAAACTTTAGAATTTTTTTTTTTTTTTAATTACTACTAATTTAAATAGAAAACTTTTACTAAAAATAAATAAAAAATACATATTAACTTTTGAATATTTGTGAATTTAGTAGAAACAAAGTTTTAGTGAAAAATGTTTAAAAATTAGTAGAAATTTTCACAAATTCAAATTTAAAGAGTATGTAAAAAATTTACCATGAAATTTTGATTATCTGTCAAATATGTTTTATTATATTTAAAATAGAAAATATACGATATATCAAAATTTTTAATTAAACTATTAATATATATATGTAATCACACAATATATGTGACGCGATCTGAAGAAAGGGACCTTAGAAGCAAATAAATTATAGGTTATGTTTACGACAGTTTTACTTATTGAACTAAAAGTTTATTTTTGTTTTTGTAAAACTGAAATAAGTTTTTAATGAACATTTTGGATGTAATGAAGATCATTAGTTTGAATTATGAGTTGAACCGTTTTGTGTAGGGTCAGTTGGGGTAAATCCGAACGGGGGGTAAATCCGAACGCTAATTATTTCAGCTTAATTAAAATTTTTAAAAATAAGTTCGATATGAGAATTTTTACCTCAGATCCTCTTGAAGAGATTCTAAGTATTATCCCATTTTTTGTTTGTTAATTAGCAACAGCATAAACAAAGATAACAAGTATTGCAAAAAAGATTGAAAATCAAAGATGACACTCTTTCAGTATTTTGTCTCGTATTTGAAGAAAAAGAAGCTAAAAATTCATTTTATTATTTATAATTGTTTGTTATGAATACTAGAACAGAAACTATATTTGATTTTTGCCTTCTGTAAAATTTTATTAATAATATCAGACCGTTCGTATTTACCCAAGAAAATTGGAAAACTGGGGTAAATCCGAACGGTATTTTTAATAATTTTTTTTTACATCAAAGCCACACAAAATTGTTTTTATTTGATTACACTATTATTTTAACATTATAAAAGTACATAGAAAAAAGTTTTTCTTTCTATACGTATCCTCGTTAGTAATTAATAAGCAGAAACTTAATCTCTGTTCTCTCGAAGGAGTGTTTCAATTTTTTTGCCAAATGGTTTGTTGAAAAAAGTTTTTCAGGATCTTAATAAAATTTGGTATTCTACGGTTTTTGGGGTCGCTAATTACCAATTTGAAGTCAGTTTTTCAAAATTCAAAATGGCGGACGAGAATTAAAAAATTCATTGGATTCGCTCGAAAATTGTTACTCGGGGGGTTTCAGGGTTAGCAAATTTGATCATTTTTAAAAATAAGTTTTAGGAAAGTACGCCATTTTGAATTTAAAAAATTTGACTTTTATTTTTGTATTTACATTCAATCATTCCAAAATACTTTCTGTAGCAAGTTTTGCAAAAATCCGTTATGATTTGATAAAGTTATTGAAGGTTTTAATTGTGTAATGCATTTTAATTTTTAACCTGTTTGATTTTTGTATTTATATATGATGCATTATTACATAATAGGTTTATTATCGTATTTTTTTTGAGTTTTTATATAAGTTTAACAATTGCAATACTTTAAATTTATTTTCCCTAAGATTTTTCTGAAATACAGTGGCGTTCGTATTTACCCCCATATTTTAGGAAAGTTGCAAAGTATCGAGGTAAATACGAACGCTAAGTTTCCTGCGATTGTAATTTATCAAAAATTTTTTCTACCCCATAAAATTGTTCTATGGAAGTAAAGTAACAACTTCATGCACCAGAATACCGGAAGTATTTTTTTTTTAAAGAAAAAACTTATGTTATTGTTGAAACTTACTAAAAGCGTTCGGATTTACCCCAGTTGACCCTATGTTTTCACTTAAAAATTTTAAAACCTAATCTATAATTTTTTGCTTCTAAGGTCCCTTTCTTCAATCAAATATGTTTTGTTAAGAAAAAAAATAAACAATTTTCTTTGTATTATTTATTACATATATATATAAGTTTCATTAATATTAAAAATTTTCCAATTAAAAAAATTGTTTAAACAATATAAACAATTAATGAAATAAATGAATAATTTTCAAATTAAAACGTATACAAATTTAAATGAAAAACCCTTGAATTATTTTTCTCGTCATGGTCAGGTATTTTTATTTTCTTTTTTTTTCGCTTATAATCGTAAAACCGTCAACTGACAAGGAAACAGCAGTGAGAGCACACCTGTCACCCACAAGGTAGGTAAAACAGCCGTCCCTGGACTCAAACTGTTGGCACGACTCACCTGTTGCCAGTACTTGGTTGCGATCTCGAGTGTAAGGTTCCGTCAATCGCTACCTTCTTTGCAGATACATAACTGGTGAACAATATTAAATATTGTGTCTTATATTTTTAACTTTTAAACAATATTTCCATACGTTTTTCTTTAAACGTTAAATAATTTTAAAACAATTATTAAAAAAAAAAAAAATCCTTTAGCAAAAAAAGAGAATATTTGTATATATTTTTTTTTAAATATTTAAAGTTCGGAAAAACGTGCAAAGAGGAGAGGGGTGGGAGAGAAAAAAAAAGAAAGGTTAGCTACTTTAGACGCCGACCAAGTGGAACTTCCGGCGCCGCTTCCTCTTTTTTCTTTTCGCATATATATATATATATATATATATAGTGGTGAACCATAACGCGTTCGTGCGAAAATTTCTTTTTTTTTCGCCAAAATAAATTTTTATTGTTTGCAAATGAAAAACGGTGAAATTACTTTATAAATATATAAAAGTAAAAAGTTACTTTTCATTTGACGGGTGTGCGACGAAAACAAAGTGTGGGTGTATTTTATAATATATATATATATATATATATATATATATATAGTTTGCAATATATTTTGCTATATATAAATGTGTGTGTGACCATATAGTCTTTAAGAATGTGCAAACTCACTATTATTGAACCTCAGCTTAGAATGTATCTTGAGAAACTATTGCAGTGAGACGAAATCTCGCAACAACCAAACGAGAAATACGATACGTTTGCGTTTCACGCAGGTATGTATGAATATATATTTTTAGATCTGCAAATATCGAGAGGCTGTTTAACCATGTGTGCGATTTTCTACATAGTTGTATATGTTAACTATATATACATTTCAACGTGTTTTTGGTATTCTCTGTTTACATTCGAATTTTACAAATATTATTTAATCATTTCCCATTTATTACCATATGCCAATTTGATTAAATTTAATGAGTTTAATAATTAGAATAACAATAATAATAATAATAAAATTAATAATATAACAATAATAATCAAATAATAATTGGAGAATCTTTATAATTATTAATCTCCGGCTTGTATATTGAAAATTAAAATTAATGTTGCGGAAATTCTTCTAGAAAGCAAAGAAAAATACTTAAAGTGTAAATTTAAATAAATTTAAAACTTAAATTATAATTAAATAAAAATTATATATTTTTCCATTTTTAAAATCGGATATTTTCCAAATTCCAAAATGGCTTAACATTTTAATATTTTGAAAATGCATTAGATTTGAATTAAATTTTTTAATTAAAATTTTTGATGACATGGAAATTTGTAAATTCTCCAAATTCCAAAAGTTACAAATATATATATATATGAAAAGAAAAATAACATTATTTTATTTAAAATCCTTTCATACTTGCGTCGCAATTGTTTATAAAATAATTTCAGAAGTAAATTCTTCGTTAAATTATGTTTGAATTATAAAAGAGTTTGTGTAAATTTACTTGTTAATGTCCATAAAATGTATACGTCATTTGCAAAAGTTGAACAAATTTTTTTTTTTTTTTTTTAAAAAAAGTTCACCAAAAAATCTTGGAGAATATTCTCATAAAAATTCCTGACATATATATATGTATATAAAAAAAAGAAACGTTACAAGGTATTACTATAAATAATAAACTCTTTTTCCCTAAATTTTTCTCTAATGAATACCTTTAATATTTTATTTCTAAGTGAAAAAAAATATGAAGAAACACTTTGTTATCACTTAACACATTTTACAGTTATAGAATAAAAAAAATTTTCTCATATAATGTTATACATTTTTTAACCGGTAAAAACATTCTAATAAAATCTCTTTTTTTTACTTGATTATATATACTTATTGTTAGTGTCATTCTTTACTGTAACAAGTCCAAAATGAAAAAAAAAAATTCTTAAACTGTAGCAGAGGTTTATGAAGAAATCTTTTCGATAAATTACTAATCCGTGAAATTTTATAATTATGTATATTTAAAGTTTTGTAAAATAGTCATTAAACTGAAATATGTATATAATTTTTGTAATTCATGACCTGATTTCTCATATATATAGTCTTCATATATTTGATACTTGACAAGTAATTATTTGATGATCTAGTAAATCCAATGGTGAATATAATATAGCTTATATAAGGTGACAATTTTCTCGAAAGTTTCTTACTTATTTCAACTTCAATGATTTGTAATCAATTGTCATTAAAATTTGAAATATAGTTGCTCTTTAAAAAGGATAAAAAAAAGATATTTCTAGAAAAAAAGAAAAAAAATTATCCTAAGTGAATTTTTGATTTTCTATAAAAATATATTAGAAAAATCAAAATTATTGTTTTTTAAGAAAACTTTATCTAAATAGAAAAAATTTTTCAAAATGCTTTCGTTCAGTAAAAAAAAACTCTTTTTTTAAATCAAAGAAATTCATTTTAAAAGTTAAAAATACAGATAATAATTTTTTATTCTAAGTGTTAAGACAATATATATATACTCTCTGCACGATTTCTCTTTAATTAAAAAAAAAGTGTCTTTAAATTTTATCAGTCTTATCAGTTTTATAAAAAATTTTATCAAATTATCATAAATATTTAACTATACATTAAAATACATATTCTATTCTACTTATCTTATAGGTGAATGAAAAGATCATCAAGTTTAATTAATTCAATAAAAAAGAAAAATTTAATTATTAAAATTAATTAATTATTATTAAAAAATTAAATTAATTTAATAAATAAAAAGAAAAAATTTAAAAAAATTATTTATTAACATGATGTTGAAGTTCGCAACGTTTTCAATAACGAAAAATTAAAATAGAATTATTTTTTCATGTCAATTTATGTCTAATTTTGATTTGCACAAACTTTCAAAAAATTAATATACTTTTATAAAAATCAGTTACCCATGAATAAATTTAATTTTAACCCAAAGTAATAGATATTGTCTAATTATTTTTTCGTTTTCGTTTATAAAAACGTTGCGGACTTCAGCATCATTTATTAACTGACATTTACATAATATGCAATCGAAAATAGGAACAGATAAAAAAATAATTTTTATGTAAAATCATATGAAATCTCACAACATTGTTAATATACATATAGGAAATTATCGGATCTATATTTAAATATATATATGAGAATAATGTATACTGTAATTTATTTCAAGGGAAATTGTAGAATTTTTAACATATGAATACAATAAAATTGAATTCAATCACACACGTTGGAATATGTATAATATATAATCAAAATTGTATCCCAATGCAACATTGAATATATATATATATATATATATCTTCTTATCTTATGGATCAATGAATTCTAAATTATTATTATCATTATTATTATTATTATACCAAGAGATAACTGGCTCGGGTGAATATTATCCTTCTCACACTGAGGCGCAATGTTTCTTGTTATGTCAGATATATATATATATATATAAAGCATAGGTACAATACTTGTCATTTTTAACTCTAGCCTCGTCATGGTAATCGTATTTTCGTGAGAAGAAAACATAGAACGTAAATCTGCTTTAATTTACAATTCTGGAAAAAAATACATCTTCTTTCATAATGATGTCTATCATTCTTAATTGCTTAATTTAAGCGCAAAAATCACATGAAAATGTAATCAATATTAAACCCTAGAATAATAATTATATTTGTGTTTTATCATAGGTATATATATATATATATATATATATATATATATATATATATATTATATTCTCTATAAATGAATTTGAAAAACTAATATTTTTTATACTGTAAAATATAAAAAAAAATCCTGGTTAGTCTAACCAAAATAAAATGTTAAATATATATCCTAAATACTTTTGCTGGTTAGAAATATTAGAAAAAATGGTTGAAAATTTTTTTGTTAACTTCCGGTCAATTTAAATGAGCCAAAAGTTTTGAACATTCAAATGAACAAAATTTTTTTTGTATCTTCTTTAAGTACGAATTTTATTAAAAAATATTGTTTTAAATATATCTAAAAAGAAGTTATTAATTTAATATTTGTTTAATTTACTGTTTCATTTTACATTGACATTATAATTTCTAATAATTTATAGATTGAAAAAAATGTTTTTGTTCATTTGAACGTTCAAAACTTTTGGTTCATCAATTTAACCAGAAATTCTTGTTAAACAAACACCAGTATCTATCTAAAAATTCTGCTATTTAATTCCCTAAATTTTGTCGTAAACCAGCTTTGAGTATAGTAAAGTTTTTTTTTTCAAGTTTAATATGAAGATTACTTAAAGGCAATATTTTCTTTTTATATTGTTCTACCTAAGAATTTCCATTTGAAATTTTTATTTTTCTGTTCTCTTATGTTTTTATATCATATATTTTAGAATTGAGTTGTTCAGAAGATTTTCCAATATTTATTGTATAAATAAATATATATATACTTTTATGGATTACACAATAACTTTGATGATGTAAAGGAATATAAAAAATGACAAACATATATATATACAAATATGGTTGTGTGTATACATGCAAATGCATAGTTGGCATGGCGTTGCAGTTGACTGACCTTATAGGTGTGCAACCAAGATGGTAGCAAGCAAGGTAGTCCACTCTATAGAAGTGCAAATATGTGTGTCTTAATACAAAAACCAGTTATTTGGAAATTATCTCATTTAATTTTAACAAATATCACCTAAAAAATATTCTATTTTATTTTATTTCCCGCAAAATATTAATTTCCACTAATCTTTTAGTTAACAATAACCAATTGTTAAATTCATTTTTTGATTATGTTAAAATAAAAAAAAATTTCTTTGTAACTAATTCAATTAGTCAAATTTGCAAAATTTTTTTATTTTTACATTAATTTACTATATTTTAATTATTCATTATACGAATATTATATACGAATAACATATAGAAATCTTAATGGGATCATTTTAGAAAATTTACCAACGTCGCGCAAACAATAATGAGAATTTATAGCAAAACGTGGGAATATTTACAAAGAATAATAAAAAGTGAGTGTTTCCGATTTTTTTTTCTCCTTGAACCGGAAATTTCAGTATATATAAACGATTGTTGAAATTATAATTATAAATTCATAGTTTCGTCAATTTTTTTCATTTTTCTTTAATGACAAAGAGTTCTATAATGAGTCATGTTTTATTCAATATATGATCATTAATTTTCCTTTCATTCTACCTCATTTAGTGCTCTAATTTTTGATCTATCATTTCTTAATTGATCATTATGTCATTAAGGCATTTGTTAATCAAACATTTGGAAATCTATTTAATGTGTTCACTTTCAATAATCAACTGGAAAAAATGTTTGTCATTCTTCTTTATTGTACATTTCAAAATCACTTTTGATTTCTTTTTCAAATATATATATATATTTGTGACGCTGCACGGTGAAAGGGACCTTACAGCTGCAAACTAATTGTAGGTTATGTTTAGTAATAGTTTTACCTTAATTAATCGTTTATTTTTAATATGCAAAATCAAAATCAGTTTTTATTTAAAGTTTCTGATCTAATGAAAATTCAAACATCAGTGTAAGAGTTAATCATCTTTTTGGAGAATTACTTTAAAAAATATAAACATAACCTAAAATTTGTTTGCGGCTAAGGTCCCTTACACCGATATATATTATTTGAATAATAAAATCAAGGATTTTTATTTATATAAAATTTGTATTAATAAAAGAAGAATCGAAGAATTAATAAAATAAATAAAAAATTCCCTTTGGTATAATAAAATAAATTTTTTTTTCTAGTAATTGAATATTTTAGACATAAAAATTGAAATATGATGATTATCATATTGAATATTTTCAAAAGATTTAGTAAACTGTCATAGCAAATTTTTTTCCATCATGTTGGGCCTGTTAGCAATCTACATTCAATTATGGTGTTACGGAGATTGCACAAATATATATATATATATATATATGCGTATATGTTGAAGTAAAATAAGCTCCGTGGGGTTTGACTTGGACCAATAAGGCAGGATTCTGCTGCCAGGTCAATGCTTACCGGTTTTGCGTTTCGCCTTGTCGACTTCCAGCGAAATGAAGGAAAAAAATTTGCCTCTATAAAGGTGTAAAATAGAAAATATTCTCTCTCGATATCTGATTCCTTTTATTTTGAGAGGAAAAATATCTTCCTCTTTTAAAATCATATAGCCCATCAAGTTACCCACTCAAAATAAAAATATTTTTTCTTTTAGAAGCCTTTATTTTTTTTTTAAAAAAAAAGAAGAATAACAAAAGAAGTATGTTTAGCATTTTCCTCTTTCATGGAAAGTTTCTCTTTATTTAAGAGGTGAAAAAATCTTTAGGTTCAAACAACTTAAAAAATTTTATTCTGAATTTTGTTCTGAATGAAGAGTATTGTATCCTCTCAAATTGAAAGGAGATTCTATTAATATATAGACATACTGAGAACATTAAATGAGTTCTTATATCCCGTGCAGAAATTCAACAAACTAACCCTGACCTGGTTGAAACAGGGAAACCGACCGGGGCCAAACCAGGCCCTGGTTGGGCCCCGATTTAAATCGATGTGGCTCCAATCGGGTTCCCTGTTTCATACGAATTTGGAGCTTCCCGACGCGAGCTCTGCCAGGGCCCTTTAAAAATTTCTGTACGGGATTTATAAAATCTTCAAATTATATCATATATGTTTCGTGCTTCGAAGAAAGGTACATAAGAAGCAAAAAAAAAATTTAGGTTATGTTTTAAAATTTTTAATTGAAAATAGACAAAGCAACACGGAGAGAAATTTATGCTACTGGGTAACATAATGATGTTAAGGGCAACCATATTTAGTGCTAAATATACAGACAGCGATATAGATTGTAGTATTTACTATCAGATGATTATAGAAATTTGATTGTACAATTTACAATCTTTGATGTTAAAAATTTTATACGATCTCTTTACGTTCTCGAGTGGCAAATATACACGAACCTAACCTCGCTTTTTTGTAAACTTAAATAATTTCATTTTATTTTAATAAGACATTTCGATAAGAATTTAAACTTTAAACTTTTTACATAAAAAAGAGTATGTCTATTGTTTCACTCCGTCTATAAAAAGGACTTGCTTAAACATAAATATATTTATCAAACGGTATATTTTTTTCACAGAGTCAATTGAATTTGTATTATTTTACTAATTTTTAAGTTTAAAAAAAGTAAGAAAAAATATGAAAAAGTTTTTTTTCCAAAAAAAAATTTCAATAAACACATGTACATTTATACAAACGAAAAAAAAACTTACTTGATTTTTGTAATCTTGAAATTTTTTAAAAAATTTTAAGCGAGGTTCTGGTTTTGGTATAATGAGTGATATTGTATCATTGTCCAGTAAGTAAAACGATTCTTCATCAATTTCACCGTCTAAACAACGCAAAATTGTTTTAAGGTTATAAACACGTTCACACTTCAGTCTTCGCTAATTCAATCAAAATAATAAACCTACCTCCAAAAGATGGAATCAAAGATTCCATATTCCACGACATTAATAAATTTTTAACACACTCGTCCATTTTTTTATTCACAACTTTTTTCACTATATATAAACACGTGCGTGAAAACACAAGGACCGCAATTGAATAGGCGAAGTATACACCACAATCAGCGCATGCGCTCACATTTAATTCTTACAATATTTGATAGTAGTGACTACAATCCAAAAGCTAACATATTTTACGTCTTTGGGTAACATCTTGGATAGTAAAATGTTGATAGTAGATTCTTGTCAGTAACACAATGATAGTACCTTGTACAATCTTTCTTTTTACTATCAAATTCTTACTATCCATTTCTCTCAGTGAAATCAACTCTCAATATACAAATCATTAATGTTTAAGTTTAAAATATTCAATAAAAACTGATTTTGATTTCATATATTTATAAATAAAAAGGAACATTTAATCAAGATAAACATAACCTATAATTCGTTTTTCTGAATTAACTTGAAAGTGCAATTGTAAATGTATAAAAAGCATCTTTATATGTCAATTCCGGAAAAATATTTATATATATATGTAATATCTTATCAAAAAGTTATGCAATTATAATCGATTTCGCAGACTAAAGTTTTTAATCTTAGATAATGTCAATGTTTTCAGAAAGAGAGGAGAACGTGTGTGTATGTGTATGGTCTTCGAATTATGAAAAGAAAATTCTGGTTTCGACGATGCGCGTAAACGGGCATCAACTGCAGGATACGAGTCACGAAATGGGTAAATATTATACAATATTTGCAATTTATTATTATTTTACTTTACTATTATTATACTCCTTTTTATTATAAAGCAATATTATGTTAGAAAATTAATTTGTTCTTTATATGGAAAATTTTTTAATAATATTTAAAAAGGAAAGGATCAATTATCAAGCAATTTATGATATTGGCGTATATTATTCTTGGGAGCATCTATATATATATATTGATATAGATGTAAAGAACAAAAGGTCTTGGTTTAGTGTAAATGTAAAGGATAATTAAGAAGTCATACTTCAAGGACGAGGTGTTGCTTTTAAAAAGATTATTATATGCTTTGAAAGGTCGTTTTTATGAGGGTTGGTCCTTATGTATTAAACAACACCTACGTGTTTATACACCTATGACCCAAACAATATATATGTTTGTATTTGCACAGTGGCAATTGTTATGTAAGCCATTCAAGGTGGCAAAATGACGTTACATTGTATAAGGTGCGCCGCCTTTGGTCCATCCTGTTCCTTATTCAGATATATATTATTAAATACCTCGATATCGTCTTTTACTCTTAACCGGTTATTTATAACGGTTATTTATGCGTTATTGTATAAAAAAGTTTCATGCCAAAATACTTGAAAATCATTTTTAATATTATTTCCATCATTATAAAGTATCTCAAAATATTTTCAAAACACTTGTTTTCTGGGCACAAATTCATTGTAGATAATTTATATATATAAGACGCGAAAGTAATCCCTAAAATTCACTTAGACAAAATTTATAAGGCCGAATTTTTTATTTATAGCCTAACTTTTTTAAGGTCAATTTTTAATTAAATTAAATTTACACATCCTGGAATTTTTATTAAAATTAAATTTTTATTTAGCATAGAATTTATTTTTAGCCAAATTTTCATATGCCGGAACTTCTATTATATTATGTATATATTGATAGGAAATTGCATTAGGCAAAACTCAATTTGAAATTTATATTAAATCAAATTTTTATTTAACAGAATTATACAAATTCTATGCACTGAAAAATTTATTCCAAAAACAATGGATTTCTGAGAAAAAAAATTTCATTTTAATAAAAATTCATTAAAATGAAAATAAAATGTAAGAAAAAAAATTCAATTCTAAAATTATTATTCATATTTATTTATTTTTTTTTTTATTTAATATAATGACCCAGCGGTCTCCTTGAGCCATAGCACTTAAATATACAAAATATAAAATTAGAATTTCGAATTATTGATTTATGGAAAAAAAACATAATCAAATGAATATGAAGATATATATACATAAAGCATCTGAGAATTAAAAATTTATATAAATTTATTCTGAAATCTTCTCAACTTTCACTTCTTTTATTTATAAAGAATGCAAATGCACGACAAAATGTGAATTACTTCATTAATAATAGATCTATTATAGCAATTTTTATAATTAGAAAGACGTTGCAATTTTCTATCTGTTTGATGCAATTATACGATTTGAAATTCCAATTCATTATTGTCTAATCAAAATAATTACTTATATATATCTTCCTATATTACAAAAAGATATCGCCGCCTCCGCCGCCACCGCTGTTTCAAGAATTCTTGACCTAGGACGGGGGTCCCCCCTCCTAAATTTTGAGGTTATGTTCGTTTCAAGGCTCTGAATTTAGCCGCAAGTCCCCTCCCCTCCTCCGTCAAAAATGACCTAAATTTTGAGGTTATGTTCGTTTCAAGACTCTGAATATAGCCGCAAGTCCCCTCCCCTCCCCCGCCAGAAATGACCTAAATTTTGAGGTTATGTTCGTTTCAAGGCTCTGAATATAGCCGCAAGTCCCCCCTCCCTCCTCTCATTTCCCCTCCTCCGTCAAAAATTGACCTAAATTTTGAGGTTATGTTTGTTTTAAGACCCTAATAAAGCAGTAAGTCCTTCCCCCTTCCCTCATCTCTCTCTATATTTCCCGCCAAAAATGACATAAATTTTAAGGTTATGTAAATTTCAAGACTTTCAATATAGCCGCAAGTGAAGGTGGAGTTTCCGCCAAAAATGACTTGAATTTAAAGGTTATGTTCGTTTCAAGACTTTTTAATAATTTATTGGTTTTTAGGCAATTTCATTGAAATTATTTTTAAAAATAATTTCTTAAAGTCGATTTTAATTTATTTAATTATTTATTGATTATTAATTTAATTAATTTATTAATTAAAATTTAATAATTTTAATTTTAATAATATTTATTCAGATTTTAATGAATTTGTAATAATAATTCTTTGAAATAGGTAGTTCATTTAGAAAAATAAGATCAATGGAAAATTAAAAAAAAATGATTAAAATAGGGGGGTTGGCGCGCGAAGCGCGCAGGGGGGCGTAGCCCCTCTAGTATTTATATGTATATATAAGAATGTACAATTTCTTATAATTATACATAAAAGTAGAATTCCGTTAATACATTATTTAAATTAAAATATTTTTAATTCATTAATTCAGTAATTATCCCAACCAAAAATTTCAGTATTATACCAGAGTTAACTACTGGCGCAGTACTGGTTCAGTATTGGCTGCCGAGGCTGGTCAGTCTGTACTGAACCAGTACTGGTATTTTCATTGTATCAGTACTGGTGCAGTACCACCCTCCCAGTACTGGCAAACCAGTACTGAACCGATATTGAGCCAGTACTAGCTGAAATAGATTTTCTTTTTGATTAATACTACACTGAGAAAAATGTTTAGTATCATCTACCAAAGTTTGGTTCTCTCTACCAAATTTTTTATTTGATATATGTGCAACTAATCCGTTTGGTTCGGGCTACTAAATTTTTTCGTTGAATCATTTTGTTCGGTCTACCAAATTTTTTGTTTTGCACAACTAACTTATTGTTTTTAAGCAAACAAAAAATTTAGTTAAATGAAAATTTTTTTTTTGTTTTCTCAACCAACTTATTTTTTTGTTTCACCCTTTTCTCCGAGCTTTTCTCTTTATATATCCTACCTATGCCTACTTAAATTAATTTCTATCGCGGAAAAAACCTAACACTGCTGGGGCTCGAACCCTCAGACTACGCAACGCTAGTCGAGAACGCTGACCACTACTCTACGAATCCTACTAACAATTTGAGATTAAATCATTTTCACAATGTATAAAAGCTGGAAAAAAACTTTCGTTCTTGTAACAAGTTTTATTTATTTATTTTCACTACACAAACTTTTTTTTTAAAAAAATGTCTGAAAAACATAAAAACTTCAACACTGAAACTTCACGACGCGAACGACATATGGTTAATGTTGACATCCCGTGAATGGGAAGCGACGCCATATTTACGAGAAGAGCGCGTGCGCAATACAGCATGTCAGCTATTTAGTACTGGGAACCAAACTATTTAGTTCGTAAACATGAAAGCTTCAAATATATTTTTTGGTAGAGCCAACTAAACTTCCCGATTTATTGCCACTTTCTATTCTGTTGTGACAACCATATTTTAGTAACGCCAACTAAAAAAGCTCAACTAAATTATTTTCTTATTATTACGAAATTATTTTTCTCAGTGTAGTTTACAAAAAGTTCTAGAGTGAACCTGATGAATCTTTTTGTTTAAATATTTTGTTTATAAAAATTTTTTCACTTTAATTTTATTTTTGAAAATTAAAAGGTATTGTATTTTGCTTTTTTGTGGGTAAAATTATTTAAACAAAAAGTTTCCTGAGACTAATTCCAAAACATTTTGCAAGTTTTTTTTATTGTTTTCAGATATGTAATAAACCAAAAAATTTTTTAAACGATCAAACTAAAAATAAATAAAATTTTTTATAAAAAAATTAATAATTTTTAAAATAAAATTTTTAAAAAATTTTCTTGACAACACTTGTTAAAAATTAAAAAACAACTTATATTTTCTTAAAAAAATGTTTCAAAAATTTATTTTGATGCAAATAATAATAAAATAATAAAATAGCTAATTGTATAATTATATACATTATAATTATTTTATAAACATTTTTATTTTTACTGAACTGTTTTTATATATTATAAAAACTTTGGTTTTATAATAAAGCTATTTTTATATTTATTTTTTGATTTTTTTAAATAATAATTTGCAATATATATTATACTTAATAATAAATAAAAACTCTGGGTGTTTTCGATTTTATATATAATAAAATATTAATTAGTTAGTTGACTAATTTAATTAATATTTAATTTGTGTTTGGTTACTAAAAATTTCACACACTTTTTCCTAAAAAAAAGTATTGGAGCAGAGATTTCACTATTGCAGTGAAACTTGTCTCTGTTACAGTTAAAGCTTTCTTTTCGTATACAATAAATTACAAAACTACCAGTACTCAGCCAGTACTGAACCAGTAGTGGTTACCAGTACTGTTGCCAACTCTGGCAGCAAATACTGGTAAAATGTTATCATCCCAAAGTTACGCCAACTCTGGCGCCAATACTGGGTGCCAATACTGCGCCAGTATTTGTCAGTACTGCGCCATTAGTAAATTTTTGATTGGGTATAAATGACTATTTTTTTAATACAAAATTTATAATATTTCATTTATTATAACTTTAATTATATAATTAATTTATTAATCTGTTTAAAATTTTTCTTTCTATTTTAACAGTATATGTATAAATTATTATTGCTTTGATTTTGGATTAATATTTTTTATGATATATATTATAAATTATTGAAGATTCGCGTGACATAAAATGCATGTGTTCTAAAGTTATTGGCGCCATTAGAAGTGATAATGTCGACAATTAACTGACTCCTACGATTATTATTATAGACAACACCCATTTATGACATAGGTGGTATATGATAAATTGTTTCTAAAAATATACACTACAAATTCATCGTGCGGTACTTCAAAGTTACAAGGTACAAACGATAAAACCCTAGAAAGTACACATTAAAACAACATTAAATTCCTTCTTAACCATACCTCCAACAACGCGATTAATGTTGAGACATTAATGGTTCAACTCTATATGTTTTTTTTATGTATACAACCATCACTACTT